AAAGCCAATTAGCTGCCTCAATTCAATTTTGTACGATTTTGTAGTGCAAGAAAATTTGCCAGGTGGAAATTAAAACATGAGCATTTTGGGCAGACTTGTGGCAGGATACCATAGTGGCGTGCACACTCGGCTGGTCTCATGAAGCTTAAGGGATCGATCATTGGAAGGAGTGTTTTGAAATTGGTCTAAAAAACAACCTGAGTTTTCATATTCGAAAGTCGGAACAAAAGATAACAAAACTGCTCGTATCAGCGCGAAGCCCTGATTGTTCCGAATGCTTTTTAAGGTCTATCGAGCAGAAATAACATGAAAAAATTAAAAGTAAAAAAATAGATTGGAAAAACTTTTTATTTAAATTTGAGTTTTTTTGTGAAAATCATCCCGCACACGCCATATAAAATACAAAGTGATAGATTTCGCTGCTAGTAACCAATCAATTGTGGCAAATAAGCTTCTTTCAACCAATTTGGAACGAATTCTAAGACGAATTAAATCTCTGCTTACGCGTTAATACCGTGAAATATATCGCGCGTTAATGGTCCCAAATTGGCAAAAATGGCATCTTTGAACCCCATAATTACGAAAAATGATCACAGGTGAAAATGACAATCTTTAAACCCCCAAAATAGCAAATCTTTAAACCCCCTCGCTGTGCACAAATATTCCATTACTTTCGTTACAAAAGTTGGAACAAAAACATGATAAAACAAGTACCTAGCCGTCAATTAATGGGAAAATGCATTTAAGTTTAATAAGAGAAAGAATAACTTGAGCAAAGAGAGTTAAATAGGAGCGCTCAAACAAACGCACACTCAAAGCGTTGACCATCACAGACCTACGGATATAGAGCGCGCTGAAAACAAGTGAAACAAGACTGCTCGTATCAAGGCAAATCCCTGAATGTTCCGACTGCCTTTTAGGGTTTATAGAGCAGTAATAACATTAAAAAATTAAATGAAATAAAACAAAATGAAAAAAATTCTAAAATTTGAAAATTTTTATGAAAACCATCACCCCACACGCCATATAAAGTAAGGATAGATTTCGCTCCTTGTAATAAATCAATTATGGCAAATATGCTTCTTTAAACCAATTTGGAAAGATTTCTAAGACGGATTATATCTCCGCTTACGCGTTAATAGTGCGAAATATATCGCGCGTTAATTGTCCCAAATTGGCCAAAATGGCAATCTTTAAACCCACATAACTTTACGAAAAATGATCACAGGTAAAATATCTTTTCAAATTTAAGCTTAGGACAGCAATACCTTTTGAATGATATAAAAAATTCCGTCAAAAATGGCTAGTTAAGAAGTCGAAATTTGTCTGAAGAAAAAAAAACCCACCCCGAGGACAAATATTCCCTTACTTTCGTATCGAAAGTCGGAACAATAAATATCCAAGCTTCAATTTTTCAAATAGACTTTACAAATGCGTCCAGCCTGAATCCATTTTGGTTTTTATTTTAAGTCATCGTTATCTTCAACGCGATTTAAAATATTTCCTTTCCTTTTTTTCGAAACTCGTAACAGCAACTTGCATCAGGGGATTGCAAAAAGGTATCATTTTGAAGTTGTTCATACAATTTTGGATTACGTTTCAAATGGCATAATTACCAAATGGCATAAAAAATGAAAAATTTCCCAAATGACATGAATTTCATGCTAAAGTTGCATTGAGAAAATCGAGAACAATTTTTTCGTGAACAATATGAGAAAATTAGTCAATTGAAAAGTTGATTGACACTTAATCTTGAAAAAATTGTAGAATTTTAAATCAAAAGCGAAAAGCATATGCTTGCCCTTATTGGCAAGCTTCTTTTGGTCAATTTTTCCGACTTAACATTTGTTTGGAAGCAGTTAGTTCCAAATTTTGTTCACGTGTTTTCGTTCCTGACAAACTGTTGGAATTAGAAATTTATAGAAAACATTTGAATTACAATGAAAACTTGAAATTTACGCCATTTGGGAAAAATTTCATTTTTATGCCATTTGGGAAGTTACCCAATTTTGTATTTTGATAGACTACAAAATCAGTTGAGTCAAAGTTTTATTTATGTTTCGATAAGTTCATTAGTTTGGTAAGGTGAAATAATTTTCTTCTCAAAATTAACTTATGAAAAATTCGTAATTTCTCCCTCCTAAATCGGTTTGGGTGGGGAGATTTTGTACGGTTGATCCTTAAAATTTTTTCGGATCAAGGCAGAAGTATTTTTCATTATTCATCGAGTTTTTAACATGAAAATTAAGTATTCATGAGATGATTTGTAAACAGGGACTTAAAATAAACTTAAAATATGCAAAAAATTGAGCAGAATGTTTCTGGAATCAACTGACAAATTCTGAAATACAGCTACTTTTAAAGGAAAATGCTTCAGTTGAAAAATGCACTTGCCGGTTTAATCCAAGCATGCCTAAGCATTCGTAACAAAATTCTGTCCTCTAAGTTTTTCTCTGAATTCCTTTTTTCCTCATAACATCCACTTATCGTTTGTCTTTTGATTCCAATCCAGACAATGGCCATCCGAAATGACAAAACCTCTAGGAAAGCCATTTTGAAATTCATTTTGTAAGCAATATAGCAAGCAAGGTAATTATCGGAACTTTCTGCACCACGCCAAAATTGGGCTTTTCCAGATTCGCAATCCCTCTTAAAAATACGATATTAAGTTGTTTAAAAACTGTTCATACGGCAATTTGCAAAAAATTGTGAAAATCTGTCACGTGTTCAAAACCAAACTTTTTTTCGAAAATTGAAACTTATTTATGAAAAACTTTTGTTTCTAACTTTATCTCAAAACAATCCATTGACCGTACAAAACAAAAAGTAAAAACAAAGATAATACACAGAAGCAAAGCGGAGTTTCGCACCTCTTGCGATACAACACAAACATAAAAAACCATAAATAGAAAAAAAAGAAAAATGTTGCAAAAATATAAGTGAACCTAAATTTTCGGCTAAAGCTGGAAATACCAGTTTGATTTTTTGAATTTGTTATAATAATGCAACCGGTTTTTTCTATTGAAACCTTCATCTCAGATTTGATAGATTAGTTTTTCAGGAAAGCTCAAAAACGCGGCTTTCCGAAATCCATAACTAAAGCAGAAAGGATTATGAAAACCGGGTTTCTCAAATTTCCAAAAAACGGTCATTTAATCACAAATGTAACTTTCCGAGAATCAAAAACTTTTACGTAAGAAAATTGGGGCGTAGCCCCTTATGAAGAAGAAACTCACAAAACTTGTTATGTCGATTGAACCCGAAAACTAGATTCGGGAGGGTGCTTTTCGAGAAAGGTCAAAGAGCGTCATATAACAAAAATTAATTTGTCCGCGGGCCATAAGTTTTTTGAAGTGAAAAAGTTTGGGCGTGGCCACTCATGCAGGGAGTTGCCAACAACCTGCGATCTCGATTGATGATCCCGAGAACAGTCAAAAAGTATCAAAAAAGCTATCAAAAAAATCAAAATTTGACTTTTTCGATGGCATTTACTGCGTTTAAAAAACTGGACTTCGCCGCTCACGCCAAGAAGCTTCCCACGACTCGTTTTACCAAGTGAACCCAAAATCTCAGATTTGGGAGGATGATCTTTACAGAAAATGAAAAAAAATGCATAAGAAAATCCCCAGCAGACTTTTTCAAAGTCTGTACACAGTGGGGTAGAGTAAACAGAAAAAGAGAATAGAGGTTTATATAGGCACAAAGGGAAGTAAGCAAGACGACCAGCTTTTTAAAAATTGGTAAAACAGCTCATCAGAAAAATTAAAATTTTGCAAACAGTGAAAAATAGAAAAGCCCAATACCATATATTTTCAGAATACTTGTTTTCATCGGTAGGGTGACAATTCATAACAGGCGATAATTGGTAACAGGCGACAAGTCGTAACAGGCGACGATTCATAACAAGCAACAATTCTCTACACCAGGCACCTTAGAAATATTGCGCGTGAAGCAGTGTACCTAGCTTAATCTACTGTTACGAAGTGTGGTTTTTACGAATTGTCGCCTGTTACGAATTGTCGTCTGTTACGAATTGTCGCCTCGCAGGAATTCCAGGAAAATATGCCAAGCAAGACATTCGAACTTTAAATCAGCAATGGAAAAAACTTGATTGATTTCATAATGATTTCATTGAAAACGTTCAAAAGTTTCCAGTCTACATGAAACTTCAACAAACGACACCTGCAACTACTATAATACTTGTTATCAGAACAGAAAAAATCTGAGAAGTGGCACCTAAACCAAAAAAAAACAATCAAAGTTCCTACAATTAATTTTTTAGAGGAAAAAATTGCAATTTCATACGTACTCATGTAAAAAAAAAAAAAAATTCCTCAGACTTTAGGATTCAAAAGCGACAGTGTTACCTCTAGGCCAGGTAGGAAGGAACCTGGAAGTTAAGGTACAACACAAAAGCAGGATCAATTTCTTGTAATAAAAGTTGTTTACGGGAAAAATTTTCAGTTCCCTATTACACGATACTTGTTTTCGCAAGTCTAATTATGGATATCGGATGTTTTGCAAGTAGCACAGAATGATCCGACTAAAATCATAGGAACTCTATAAAAAAATTCTTAAATTAAGTCTCGGTTTTTTTACGTGGTGCGATGACAGAACAATATAAACGAGTAGAAAATTAGTGAACTGATACTAGGACAGTTGTTTTCGAAAAATGAATCATAAATGAAATCAAGATTTTTCAGCGCAAACAAACAATTTCATTTAACAAACGGTTGTTTTACGCGCTAAAATTACAAATCATGCTCTTAAAATTACAAAGACTACAAACCAAAAACTTCAAAAGAGTTTTTCTGGACACTGGGACAACTTTTTGAAAATTCTAGTCATTCCAATTACAACTGAAAGGGCTTTAATGTGATGTATCACTTGGCCCGTTCCAATAAATATTTGTGCATTTTGACTTTTACTGGAAAAAAATACAACGCCCGATACAGAGTTCCTCCCCACTTTCAATGGCGTGAACAATGATTAAGACTGACCCATAATTAAGTAGCAGCCCTGACAGAGTGATCCGGCCATGGCTGCCTGGAAGGTGCTGGCTCCGAACTCGTTCTTGAAGTCATTCAGCAGCAGTCCGTAGGAGTAGCAAGTGCCGTCCACTATGAAGTTACACATGAAGCCCCCGAGGACTATGATCCAGCCATAGCCCCCGTCGGGATACGTGTTGGCCCACTCGGCCAGAGAAGACTCCACCGACATCAAATAAACTACAGGAGCAGTGCTCGAACAATAACCAGGACTAAATAGCTGTGCCAATAATAACTTTGTTTCTTTTTCCTACTGTTATTTTTGCTCACTGTTTCATCAAATCATGATATGTTTGAATAATATGATTCAATACTGATCCAAAAACTCTGATTGAGTTTTTTCGGAGTGCGGTCTGTATTTAGACAACGGCGTATTCATACTCGTCAGTAAGCAGACAATTACCATATTAACCAATCAGAATCAAGATGAGAAAGCAAATTTACGAAATAAATAACTATTAATTATTCATTTCTTCCTTGTCTCGATTCTGATTGGCTAATGCAGTATTTATCTAATTAATGACGAGTCTGAATAAGCTGTTGTCTAAATACTGCTACGTAACCGTTTTTTTAAATTCAACTTAAAACTTCAACTTGCAGAAGGTTCCGGGATAACACCGACATGTTTTACGGAGAAGACTTTAATTCAAAAACTATTATATCATGATTTGAACACGAATTTCAAACTGAAATGGCCAGACGAAATAAAGGAGAAGGAGACAATATGAAGTATACGAAGTTATTGTATGTGCATGAAGGTATGTTGCATCTATACGCACACTCAAACTACAAAACTTCTGTCACAGTTTGGTGACTGATTCTCTATTTAAGGCAAAATTGAACAGCGTACAGGTTAAATTTGGTTGAACAGAATATAAATAGAGCTTATCTGTAAGAAAGTGAGAAGAGATCTCGGGCTAATCTTCAATGTGTTCGGACAGAGAGAAGAAGAGCCATTTTTGTAGCTCTTTAGTTTCATTTTATCTTGGGCGAGTAAACTTCACTGATCCGGTTTTACAATTCAAACCCTCTAGTCGCACCACTTTCTCCTGGCAGAAGAACGGAATGGCAGAAAGTTAAATAGCCAATCAGGTTTTAGTATTCAAACATGTGTGAGTTTTGGACAGTCCAAGTAGTTCAAATTGGGACGAAAGCCTCTGCTATTCCGTCAGTGTGCTATGAGAGCAGTGTGGTTAAGGTCCAGCATTTGAATGAGTTTCAGTTGAATGTTAGATAAAGCTGAGAATGATTAATCATTTGAAAACACGCCATTGATTTAATTTGCTCAATAGCCCTTAGCTTTCGTTCCAGGAAGCTTTATCCATCTTTTTTGGGATTCTTGACTTCATGAATAACTTCAGTCAAAATAGATGTGCAGAGCTCAAATTATCAGCAGAGCCGTATATGTTAATTTCAAAGTTCAGCTTTCCCAGGCCGAGGTTTGCGATTTGTGTTTCTACCGAAGCAGGTCAGAATTCGGCCGTTCAACTAGATCTCTGTTTCTTAAAAAGCCTTTACAGCAAATGAAGATTGAATTAAACGCGTGAAAGCAGAAAACAGATGCATTGAAATTGCTAATGTTATAGATAGGAAGAAAAACCAACTGAATGAGCACATTTATTTGCGAGTTCGGTTGGAAAAAAAAGTAGAGTCAGCTTATTACACTACGCTTGCTAGTTCGTTTAAATATTTTTTTAAAATATCAGTGCGAAATCACATTTTACTAGTATGAAATAACTTCTTGCTTCTTTTTTTTGCTGCGGCAGCTTAATGTACATCATATGCCCAAAAAATTATTTGAGGAGTGCTAACCGGCCCGCATGCTAAGAGGCCGTTCAACTAGATTTATATTTCTTCAAAATACTACAACAAAGGAAGTTTGTTCCTCAGAAAAGCAAATCTTTGGTTCATAGCAAATGAAAATTAAAATTTTGGCAATCTAGCTTCGTAGAAAACACTAATTCATACGCACTATCCAACATGTACCAAAATTAGGCACAGTCGAGCAAGCGTTCCGTGATTACCAACGGAGTTATGTGAGCGCGCTTGGTTTTGATATCTGACTGCCTTCTATACTGGCCGATTAATAGGTTTCTGCTAGTCGAAACATGGCCATATACTCAGTTTTTGAATTTTACCAATGTGACACCGAAGAGTCGCCACCACAAAACTTTTAATGCAAACTTATTGAAAACTTTCTATAGTGATTTAGGGGAAGGTACTAATTTGTTCAACGCAAAAATAAAAACGATTAATTTTCCAATTTTTCAAATCTTAAGATTGTACCCTCCTCCAATTGAGAACCCCTTATCAACCCCTGCGTGTTTATCTGATATAGTAAAACTTAGACTCAAAGTAAAAGAGTTGCTAGTAATAATAAATTGGGAAACAATCAATTAATTAGTTCAAAATCAAAAATTTGATTATAATTAGAGAATTGTATATTCGTTAATTTAAATGAAAATAACAAATGAGTCACGAAGTCGGAAGTTTTGGGCTATTTTTAAATTAAATCTATCACAGTTCTGAAAATCATCATGGTGCAGTATAGTATGGCTAGGATAAATTTGCATCGATCAAAAAAACAACCTGCCAATCTGTCATATTTGTCGTGGGAGCGGTCATAAACGGAATGTGATAGAAGGAAATCAATCGATTTATGAACAAATTTGTGGTGGTTTGTACAAAGGGGGTGAACGGTAAAGCAAACCGAAGTTGCGGATATGTGAGTAAGGTTTCTGGTTGAAATGTTGTCATGCTTCAGGTGAAACAAACAGACAATCATTGCTCGTTGCGAGATCCAGTCGCATCACATGATAATATCACTTTCATTAATCGGTGCATTTCCTCTCCAGCCTGTTTTATTCAGTTGCATTCTGCTATTTGGATTGATTTGCTATCTTCCATTTTTATGAGATGTTTCTTCGTGGGACAATCAGCTTCGTTGAGCAGTCGACGGCCGTGATTATGTGTAGCTGTTGTGGGGTTCAGTTGTTTGAAGGCGACAGTTGTGTGTGGCTGACAGAACCCATTGATTGATCGGGATCACACCCCCCCTGAGCCAGACAACACACACTGGCCTGGCCTGTGCCTGGCTCAGAAGAGCAGCACTCGCTTCTCCACCTTCTTGCGGCAGATGGGACACTCTTCCATCTGGTCCCCACACAGCTGGCAGTAGCCGTGGCCACACATGAACACCATGTTCTTCAGTTTGTCCAGACAGATCGGACACATCGTCTGCTCCTTCAGGTCCTGCAGCTGCTGCTTCAGCTTCGACACATCCTCCCTCTCTTTATCACCCCCTCCGTCTAAAACAAATTTATTTAAACAGCTGCGCATTTTGTTTCAGGGGTACTCAAAAAAGGCAAAGGACCAAAGTAACCTCTGTTTGCCTTTTGGAAATATTATCCGCAACAAAAACCTAGTTTTTTTTACGTCTCTATCGCCAAAATTATATCTTTGGCAGCAACTTTTTTATCACAGCCTTCAAAAAATGCTCGAAAACAAAATCTTGTTGAGTTTCGGAAAAATCAACAATTTCATTGATACTTTTGAGAAGGGACCGTCCTAGCAAAAAATAATAGAACGACGACTGGTTAGATTGGTGTTCATAATTTCAAAATTTACTAATAACTAACTTGCTAATGGCCTAATTAAATTTTTGCTTCTCTTTGCTCTGTTTCAAATGAGCACGAATCGCTAAAGTCACTTAAAACATGTCGCTTGATTCAGTGCTGATTTCAAATATTCGGACAAAACAATCAAAATTGGAAAATTCGGTTATTTCAAACGCGGTTATTTCAAAAAAAACGCGTAGAACTTTACCCAAATTAAAATATTTTTTATTTTGCACAATTCGAGCCCAAAATTTAACCCTCGTACCAACGTGAGGCTATTGTGTAGCCAGGCAAACTTTAAGAATAGTATTATCTCATAAGCGCAAAAAGTTTATTGGTATTACATGCAGTAAAAAATGAAATTATACTCTTTTGAATCTCTAGCCCTACACAATAGCCTCCCTTTGATATAATTGTGTCAGAAATTAACGCGGTAGTTGTAAGTAATTCTTGATTAACCAAAAACACAAAAATTGAACCATTTTTGGAGTTCAATTTTGGGCCCGAATATCAAAACACAATTTGCAACTTTTTAATAATCCGATCCCTTTGTCTAATGACAAAACAGTTTAAATAAAACGCGTTTTTGTTTGAAAAATCGATACAATACTCGAAAAAAAAAGAAAAAAACAATTGATTTTTTATTCCAATTTTGTCTACCTTTTATCATCCCACACGCTGTTTAAAACAAAGCGTAATAAGGGTCTCGTATCGTATTGATAAAACAAATTGCTTGACTCAATTCAAGTTAAAGTGTTTAAATTTGCCGGTAACGCGTGTTATAAGAACACAATATACAATATATCGCGCATCAATTGTTTTAAATTAGCAATGTGCAAACCCTAATAAATTTTACAAAAAAATAAGAGGCAAAAATTTTTAGAATCTTCAGCTCAAAACAACAATATCATTAGGATGGCTTCAAAAATTGATCAAAACGCTCATTTGAAAAGTCGAAAATTGAAAGAAAAACTATAGCAATGAACGCAAGGAAACAGAAAAACTGACTTGTTTTTTTTTAAAAAAAACTTCAATTTGGAATTTTAACAAAATATGCTTTGAGTTTTCAGAACATTTATGATTGGTACTTTTTGATAAAAATTAACCCAATTTGAGAAAACTGAATAAACAGGTAAAAATTGTATTTCGCTGGGAAATCTGATAATTAAATTCCATTTTCAAAATTAAGACATTCTCTTGAAAAAAAAACAAATCACGAGATCTATATAAAATTACTCACTACGTTCATTGTCTCTTAATCACGGGTAAAATATCTTTTAAATCTTGAGCCCTAAGCATCAATATCTTTCAGATTGTAGAAAAACTGTCTGTCAAAAACTACTATATGAAATGTCGAAATTATCAGGAGTAAAATTCCCTCGAGAACAAATTATCCGCCACTTTCTTCGAAAGATGCAACAATAAAAGTATAAGTATACTGGGTGTGTACAGTACACCGATGTGTCAGTAAATTACCAGATCAGTAAACCGAATTACGTAATGATTACATCAATTGCAGAACTAAACGTTTATCGAAAAATTTTTCCCTGAGCTAGAACATTAATTTTAAAACTATGGGGCTCATGGCAAGAGTTAATTTGATTCAATTTTTGTTTTGAGGAAAAAGTTTGTCGCTTTGAAAAAATTTCAAATTTTAGCTAATATGATTACGTAAATGAATCATGAATTTTTGGTTGACTGATCTAAACCGCCCGTTTTCGGTTTACTGATACATTGATTTATTGACCTACTACCAAGTATACAAAAAGCTACACCTCGATTTCTCTTCATATCAACTGGATAGAAAATGAGAAAGAAAATCAGGACATCGTTGTTATAACAAACTCTCAAAATAATCCAGGGATGGCGCGACAACTTACCAAACTACTCTTGATACAGGAGAAACGGATTAACACAGAGGCGAAATTGCACTTCGCATACACAAGCAAAAAAAAGACCGATAACGCTACTGGGAAAAACTAAATGAGTAAAACTTTGAGTCTACAAAGTTTTTTAAGTGACTCACGCCAATTATAACGCTTTAGCAGTTCTAGTCAATTTGAAAAACTAAAGAAATTCACTAACTAACATGCCTCAATTTATAGAGCAGTCTATGGAGCAGTAATAACCTGAAATTAAATTTAAAAAAGTAAGATTTTTTTAATTTGAGATATTTCGTAAAAATCATCCCCCACACGCCATATGAAGTACAAAGTGGCAACTTTTGCTCCTAGTAACAAATCAATTATGGCAAATAAGCTTCCTTCAACCAATTTGAAACGAGTTCGGTGACGAATTAAACCTCCGCTTACGCGTTAATAGCGCGAAATTTATCGCGCATTAATTGCCCCAAAATGGCAATTTTTAAAACCCCATAACTTTACGAAAAATGATCACAGGCGAAATATCTTTCCAAAATTAAGCTCAGGACAACAATACTTGAGTGATATAAAAATAACTCGTCAAAAATGGCTAGTTAAAAAGACGAAATTTGTCTGAAGAAAAAAACCACCCTGAGCACAAATATTCCGTTACTTTAGTTACGAGAGTCGGAACAATAATAGTATGTGTTAAAATCCTTAGCATTGGCTGTACTTAATAGCTGGTCATTGATCAAAATGAACACTTTCAAAATGAACACACTTTATCTCAACAATATTTGCGTCGAAACAATATTTGCGACTTAGGTTGGAAAAAAAGATAGTTCATACTATAACACAAGCATTGCTTGGGTAAATATGACACTATAGCAAAATGGGATAAAATGATAGTGAAGAAAAAACATCTAACTTCAGAGCAACTAAGTTCGAACAATCATGCAATGCACCCGACATGTTTGGGCTTGCTACTCACTTGATCCTGAATGTGCTCCATTGTGCACCTTGGCCTGTGCACTGCCGCCTTCATTGTTGTTTGCTCCCGAATTGTTCACTTTGCTATTCTGCTGCTGGTTGTTGTTGTTGGACACTTGGTTGTTAAGTGCTGCAAAAGAGACATTGCCCCCCGTGGCAGCAGCTGCAGCCCCCACCACTATGGGCACCCCCTGCCCCCCACAACACAAGGTCCAGCCACTCATCCGGTCTATGGGCACTCTGCACTGCACACACTTCTTCATCAGGGGAGCACAGCCTACAAATAGCAAACACAACACACAGTTTCAAGTCAAGTATCAATGAACTGAACGTTTGAACATACAAAATTAGGCAATTTGGGTGCAATAAAAATCTATTATGACAGAGGGGTCCCGAGTAGGCTGTTCCGCTTGGTACACTATATACGCATGTAATAATTTGAAATCTATATAGTGCATAACTTAAGCATTTCAATTGCAAAACTAATTCATGAGACACCTGCAACGCGCAGTGCTAGCCCCCCATACAATTCAGATTTGTTTTGTAAGTTTATATGAATTGACCTGTAAGTAGATATCTTTTGGAAACAATTTATTATTATTATCAAACATACATAACTCAGTACATTTTCAGAAACACGGTTTATTTCCATAATTCGTAAAACTTCTCCTTTAACATTTTCAAGACAGTTAGAAGACATTAACAAGAAATAAAAAATAATACTAATGGTTTTTCGAAGAAAATTGCAATTTTCGAAAAAAAAACTTCAGCTCTTCGAATTTCTAGAACAACTCACGAATGATACTTTTTTAAATTTAGGTAACAGAATTTGAGATAACTATCAATACGTAATCTTTTTTATTCCGCTGAGAAATCTGAAAAATAAAATCTACTTGAGAAAATAGAAGTCAATCGCTTTTTTGTGACCTTTACAATTTTGCTGTTCGATACTGGAGTTTGGCTTCAATTTAATAAAGGATATGAACTAAACTTAAAAACGAATCAAAAGTCAAACCTCGAAAAATCGGTACTAGTTTACTTTTTTGGTCACTCAAAAATGCTGTGGTCCTTAATAAAAACCGAGGTACAGTAACTGGCTAATTTTAAGAGTTAGCATTTTTATTTCTCTATATTGCTGCCGAAACTGGCCAGGTTAGCTTAGCGGAAACGAATCCACTCACCAACCACAAGGCGTAAGTTCAAATCCCATACTGGCTCTTCTTTTTAGAAAATAGGCGGGACCAATCATCTTAACTAGTTTTATCTCGGGACCAAACAAGTAAACTAGTACCAAAAATCTTATAACTTTTCCTGAAAAAGAAACCAAAAAAACATCACGACCAATATACGATTCTGAAATACGTTCATCGACTCTTGAAAAGCACCTAAATTGAGTTTTGATAGAAAAAAAACAACCCAAAAAACCTTGAAACAACACTGCTCGTACATCAGGGCGAAGCCCTGAAAGTTCCGACTGCACATTGGGATCAATTCAATGATTTTTGGTTGAAAAATTGACGTAGAAATTGAAGAATTGTTTTTCTGCAATCTGCTCCCCTACACGCCAATGCAAACTACAAAGGGGGATTGTTTAGCAGACCAATCTTTTAGCATAAAATGCGAAAAATGAGTCTTCTAGCAAGTAATAGACTGATGCATGATTGATTGACAGACTGATAAAGAACCTCAGTCTTGGGTCAAGCTTCCCCAATAAGACAATTATCTCAAAACGATCAACTTCAAAGACATAACTGTCTAAAATAGCGGCAAAAAAATTCTCGCGCACTATAACACTCGTGGCTAATAGAAGCGCAGGAGAGCAAACGGTCGCTTATCGCCAACGCAGCGTATGAAGTTAGCTTTCTGATTTGCTAACTGTTCTGAGTCTGCTAAGAGATTGGTCTGCTAAAAAACGGTCTGCTGAAACCCTTACTCCTACAATGTGATGTATTTAGCGTGTCCTTTTATCAACACCAAACGGTTAGCCTCAATTCAATTTGGAACGCAATATTTTGCGCGTTGATTATCCCAAATTTGCCTCATTAGCCAATTTCAGACCCCCATAACTTTAAGGAAAATAATCACAAGTGAATTTTATAACATTTGAGCCCCGGATAACAATATCTTTCATATGGTAATAAAAATATTTCCGTACAAATTGTTTAAGTAAAGAGACGAAAATTGGCTGATTAAAAAAACGGCCACAGCATAAAAATTCCGTTTTATTCGAGAAAGCCCGAACAATCAGTTGAAACGAGCATTTTTTAAATATAAATAATATAGTAATTACAATTTTGGTGTGTAAATTTTCTAATTCAACATAAGTCGCGATATTCTTGAAATGAATACATTATAAACATTCTCAGGGGCGGATCTAGGATTTTCTCGAGGGGGGCGGATTTTCAAAAAATTTTCGAATGTTTTGTCGATCTTTTTTTGGTGGGCCGAATTGATTTTTCGAGCTCTCTCCAAGCACCGTTTAGTCCGTTTTGACCAAATTTTCTGCGCCGCAGGCAAAATTTTGAAAAAAGGCGTTTTTAGGCTCTGTTTGGAAAATTTTGACCAAAACATCCCGTTTTTCGGCGCCTTTAGAAAAATTTTAGGGTCGGTCGGCCAACAATGGATTTCTTAAAAAATACCAAAGGGTCGGCAGGGTCGCATCCCTGAGGGCGGGAGGAGGATGGGCGTCCGCCCTTCCCCCTAAATCCGCCCCTGCAGTTTAGTTTTCAAAATTATTACATGGGAAAATATGCGGGATCAGTCTATCATAGTAGTACCACTTAGTAAATATTTGAACTGGAATTGTAATCATTTTTTTTGATTTTATGAAACAAATTTACTTTTTCAACTAATTTAAAAATTTCGAAAACATCAATTGGGTTAACTTAGTAATTCTCAAAGTTCAAATTTGCTTAATTTTTAAAAATCTGTCTGCCTTCAGTTCACATGATGAAGAAGGAGGGGAGTTTTTACACAGAGCGAAACCCCCCCCCCCCCACTGGTAGAGGGAGCTTCGCCTGTGTAAAAACCAAGTTACCTCCCCCCTCCTCCCCCAACGAATGGGGGGAGGATGTTAACTTGGTGTCTGGTAATCTTTCTATTAAAACAATTTGCGAGCTTTCGTCAAGGGACCCGGTCGTTAAAGGGACCCGGCTATCATGGAAGTAGCAGACTAAATGTTCGACTATCATTTCTGTTGTCTCATTGACTTTTTTGGTGAAAGTGTGATAAAGGGGTCCCAAGTAACACTGATTTGTTAATAAATTTTCTTCTATATTTTCCGTTGTCTCTTCTTCTTTTTGGTGAAAGTGTGATAAGGGGGTCCCAAGTAACACTGATTTTACATCCTCGGTTTACAAGTTGCGATTTCTGCACCCTTCGTTTTCTACCTTTCCGCTTTCAAGTTGGATTTTTCGTCAAATTTACACCCCCGGTTATTCGGTCTCTCTCCCTCATTCGGTGTCAAGCAAATAAAACGACAGGATATTAGGACCGCAGCCCTTCTGATGGGACTTTGAGACTCCAATTTGTAATGGATTCTCCACTGTGAATTTCTGGGAAATCCATTTCGCTGGAATTCGAACAATTTACATGCTTGGAACGGCGGATATTCAACGAACCACCATATCTACAAACCGCAATATCTTCAAGCCGAAATTACAACAGAGTTAAGTAACAACTTCTTAACAACAATGGCAATATATTATTAATTTACGTAATAAAATTAATTTCCGTAATAAAATTAATTTCCGTCTTGTAGAAACGATAATCCTATTTTCGGTGTGTTGGCCTTTCCGCTTGTTGGCCTACCACCGCTTGGCTTAGTTCTACTTTGACAGAGTGGTCCCTTGAAAATAACCGGTACCTTGAGAATAAGACACCTAGAGCTCTCAAATCCTTTAATGATCATGATTTGATTTCGTGGTACTACTATGATAGAGTGGTCCCTCGAAAAAGCACATATGATAGACAAGTCCAGCATGCATTTCGCATGTTATGATTTTGAAAACTAGTTTGTTTATAAATTATTCATTTCAAAAATCTGGCGAAATTGTAATAACTATATTGTTTATGTCAAGAAATCTGCTCGCTTCAACTAATATTACGGTTTAAAAGCCATAATTGGATTGGCTTATTTGTCATCAAAATTCCATTTTGGCTCTTTTTTTGAATTTTTCATCTTAAAATGTTGAGGGGGGAGGTTTTACGAAACAAATAAATTTAAAATTTGTTTGAAAACATACTGTGCTATCTTTCTGAAAGGCGAAATCATCATTGTTAAACATTTCAGAGCACTAGGAGTCTTCTTCTCAATGGACCTGGTTATTTTCAAGGGACCACTCTATCATAGTAGTACCGATTTCGTCATTCAGAAAGATGTCGCAGTATATTTTTAAATTTTTTGATTTGTTATTTCCTAAAATTCTCCCCTCACCATTTTGAGGAAAATTTAAAAAAACGCCAAAATTGAGTTTTGATGACAAATCAGCAGGGTTTCCGCAAAAATAATAGTAGGGGGCTTTATGGCCATAAATAATGTAGGGAAAGGATAAAAAGTATGGCCATTATGTATGGAACTGTTTCCGATTATGGCCATAATCAGGGGTTCCGCAAAATATATGGCCATAGAATGGGGTTTCCGCCCTACATTATGCCATAATCGTCCTTCTTTCCCTCCATTATTTCCAAAATCGTTCAGGAAAAATACAATGGCCATTATGGGGTTTTATTCGTTCCATAATTTTGAATGAAAAATCAAAACAAATTATTCAATTTTACAAAATTTTTGAAACGAGTTTAGCATCCCAAAGCTCTTTATTGACTTTTAAGAAAAGAGTAGCCTCAAGGTGATGTGGAGTCATGCTTTTTCGAAGCGATCCAAGTGTGATTTTTATTTTCGCGCACGGTCCTTCGCGTATGAGGGATTCCGATTCCACCGCTCACTATTTTGTTTTACACAAATCACTTTTCAAAATTATAACATGCGAAATGCATGCAGGACCTGTCTATCATACTTTTTTCGAGGGACCACTCTTTCATAGTACTTTGGTCGTCGTCTAAATGTCCTGTCCTCTTATTTACCTAGCACCCTCTCTCTGCTTACCGTCACATGCAACCATGTGCTGACAGGGGCTGAATAATACATTCGCTTTCTTCGACGAACACACCACGCATTCTTCAATCTAAACACACAGCTCACCAAATCAATATGCACAGTATTGTAACACAGTATATGATATCAGTTCACAGGTATGTGTTGAATGGCAGGATGGCCGAGCGGTCTAAGGCGCTGCGTTCAGGTCGCAGTATCTTCGGATGCGTGGGTTCGAATCCCACTCCTGTCAAATTATTTTTAAACTTCTGTTTATATAGTTCAATTTTGTAGTAATAAAAGTTACCTCGAATGTTGAACCAACTTATATGCACAATGTATTCACAAAATACGAACTAAATGACCATTAAAACGCATTTACGTTCAATTCAATTTATGAATTTTTTGGCGAAAACGGCAAAAAAGAAGAGGAGAGAGCCAGTTTGACCAGTGTGGTTATTTATGGCCAGCCCTATGTTACTATCTTCCCCTCCCTCCCCCCCCCCCCACCTGCAAATTAGGTTGGGGGGGGGGGGGGGGGGAGGAAAAAGAACCGAATCCGGTTACCAACCCCAAGGCGTATGTTGAAATCCCGTGCTGGCTCGTCTTTTTAGAAAATAGGTCGCGGACCAATCATCGGCTCTTTTCCAGTTCCCCCCTTCCAAAATACCGAGTTTTATGTTTGTTTTACGTATTATTATGGCTAAATGCGTGATGTTACGATGTAAAGTATGAAGAACAAATCTGTTCACAGTTGTCGATTTGTTCACCATGCCAAATTTCAATGCATTATGAACGTTGAATAAGATTTTCAAAATTGAATTTGAAGGGGGCGGGGAACTGGAAAAGAGCCCAATCATCTAAACTAGTTTTGCAACGGGACCAAACAAGTAAACTAAGGCCGCCGAAGGCGCTAATAGAAAAAAAAATTAGCACTATCAATCAGTCAGTCAAACCAAGATATCTTAAAAAAAATAGCAACGGGTGTCAAAATCCTGAATGAAGGGGTGTGCGTCTGACTCGAGTTGAAATAATCAAATGAATGACCTCGGTTCTTGTCTGCACAGGCTCCCTGCAAATGAGGCATTTTTTGGCCCTGGGGGCACAGAGTGAACACATGGCTACGTGACCACAGGGCCCGAACAAGACATCGCGACTCATCTCCGAGCAGACCATGCACTCGTCCAGGGACAACTGCTCTTCCTCTGCAGTAGTGGCAGATGCACCACTGGCGCCCGACAGCTGCTGGGAGTGGATGTTGGTGGGTTTGGCCGGCGGCAGATAGTGGTTTCCGTCATCATTTCTAAATCACAAAATCAAACAAGTAGCATCACAAATCATCGTAAACACATAGCGACAGAGCATACACATAGCAGACAGATAGTTGCAAAAGAGTCAATGAGCACAAATAAACAGAAAAAAAATGCTGGCTTGTGTTTAGTATCAATCTCGACTTCAGAATTTCCAAGAAAACAATAAACGGTCTTAAAGCAGTTTGAATTTCTATAACATTTCGCTGGGAAAACTTTGAATTTCGCTGGGAAAACTGAAAATTAAATTCCACTATCGAAACTAAAACTCGATATTTTCATGTGACCTTGACACTTTTGCAGTTCGATAGTGGAGTTTGCATTCCTTTTCAACAAAAAATGAACTGAACTAAAAATAAATCAAAAGTCAAACCGCGAATAAATACTTTTGATCTTGAACAAATTTTATACTTTTCCTCAAAATAAAAAGGAAAAAAATCATCACCACCGTTATAAGAGTCTGAATAACGTTCATCGACCTAAAAACAATTGGAAACAAGCATCATTTCGACAACTGAGATTATTAAGACTCGTAACTTTGAAGATTTTGCGGACGCAATTACCAAAATCAAACACCAACAATTTGAACACTGTTGAAAATATCAATTTTTCTACTGTCCCTTTTTGAATACTGTAGTAATGCAATAATACCTCATCGAATTGTAAAATATTAAGTTGCAACCGAACTTTTTCCAATTCGGGGGATCAATCTCTAGCAGAAAAGTTTCATTTTGACGGCTAAGCTCCCACTGTGCGGTCTTTTCTTAACACGATAACAGATGCTGGGTAATTAAGACGTGAGAGGCGACAATTCGTCGAAAGCGACGATTTGCAGCAATTTCAAAAGGCGTCAATTCACGACAAACGACAATTAGCAGCACGATTAGTTGACACTATTGCAAATTAAATAGTCAGAGTATCCGGAGAACATGGTCATTAAAACATTCCACGCTAGAAAAAAGTCAAAAAGTGAATAAAAAAGTTCAGAAATTCAGATTTTTCTAAATTTATTATGTTTAAAACGTTAAATTAGCATGACTGCCAGGCGTGCGATTTTGTGGGGAAAACTGAACACAACTAGCGGAACAAAAACCCAACCCCTGGAACAGGCTAAATTCCGGAGGTCTCTTTTGAGGGATCAAAAATTTTTCTTGCGCCGTTATGAATCTAAATTACACGATTCAACCTGCTATCAAACAAAAAAAAACAACATTGGAGCCTCAACATAGGAATCATTTAGGTGGAAACCTCTGGGGATTTTAGCCTCGAAATAGTTGTTAATTTGCTTAAGTACAAGTCACTCGCCATACCTGTTGAGCGGCAACGAGCAATTGATACCGCCCCAACCATTAAAGGACATTGCCGAGCCTTTGGAGTTAAGCAAGAGCCTGAGGGGGAACTTCTCCTCTTTGATTCGCGATTGGATCGCAAACACCGAATATTAAAATGGTCCACTGATGACAATTTAGAAACTATGGAAAGCAACACAATCTGGCACACAGATAGGACATTTAAAGCGTTTACCGCATTATTTTATCCACAGTTTAAAATTCATGCAGTGGTTAACGATCAAACTGATCCATTAGTCTTTTCTTTTTCTAAACGAAAGTGAAGAAAAATACTTCATGGCCTCCAGGCGACTGAAATTACCGCACTCAAGAAAGTATTAAATGGACTAACTATAAAAAGATGTTTCTTTCATTTTGCGAAGGCCATGCGGCGCAAAACTCAGGAGATTGAATTAGCACAAGCTTATCGAGAAGATGAAAAACACGCATGCTTCTTAAGTAAGTCGTTGCTCTGACACTTATACTTGAGCTCGAAGCTCGACTTTGAAACCGGCATGAAACCTGGAACCTGCTTTACGCTGTGCAATTTCTGACAAAAGTGACAAGTCCACCTAAACTACTGCATTACGTCGATAATTTTGAATCAAATTAGGTTGCAACCCTCTTCCAATGACGCAGGGGAATGGGCAATTCTTTATTTCTCTCTGACACCAGTTCCAAACGCCAAAAATGGAAGACATAAACCCAAAGATTCGATCAAGGGGTGGTATAGGGCTTTCCGGATGGGGATGGGGTCTGCTCACGCTAAGTATCAAAAGTTTATCCAATTTCTGAGAAAGAGTGTCGGAGAACAAATTGGTGAGAATAACAGCGGGAGAAAGTGCCACCAAGGTGACACAACACGAAAAATGCCGAGTCAGATTAGTTGAACCCCTTTAACACACTTCAACAGTTGCGAGAGCACGACCAAAAAGCAGCTCTTTCAAGTCACATAAGAAAAAGTATAACTAATCCTCGAATTTGCAAAAAATCGAAGCTTAGCAAAAACTCGAATTAGCAAAATCTGCGACCTAGCAGACTTGATTCTCACGCACTAACCAATCAGCCACGGATGCTTAAAATCCCCAAAAATTAGCCACCAAAAACGCAACTGCATCAATGCAGCAATAGTAGCACCAAATACAAAAAGATACAATTTTTGCATGTAAAAAATTGCAAATCAAAAAGCAACGTATAAACTATGCATTTCAAAAAAATTGCGAGATATATTGAGTTAGAAAATTCCTGAAATCGAGATTTTTTTGTTAATGCTGTTTGAAACAAATAGCTTTTTTCGGTTCACTTGATGAATTAAAAATGCATCAACTGTGTTAACATATAACTATTCGAATATCAAAGCACATGTTATTAATCAGCTGTACAGGTGCAACAAAAAACTTGCTGCAGCAAATAATGTTGCTTTGAGTGGAAAACAATGTTTGCGACTTAGTCGCAACACTATTTGCGACTTAGTCGCAACACTATTTGCGACTTAGGTTGAAATAAAGGAAAATCGTACTTCGCAAGTGTAAAAATCAAAGCAACAATAACTTTCTCAAACAACTTGAGGGCCTCTCGTTCAATTTTTAGATCCTTTGTCCTATCATTTAACCCTTCCATCTCATTTCCTTTGATCTGATCAAAGCTTTTACCGCTAATAATTGTCGCTTGCTACGAACCTTCGCATACTGCGAATATTCGCTTTTTTACAAACGCTACGAATGGTCGCTTGCGACGAATTGCCGCCATGAGATTAAGACGACTTGACATCAATACGACAACTGAGAGTTTATATATTTGAAAAGCTGTTGTCTTAAGAGCTGTCGTCTTATTTGCCGGACACCACGATAAGAGCACGAATGTCATAAAATTGACAGAGCTATGAAACACAGAGGCAAAGCTGTGCTTCGCAAACACTAACGAGAACACGACAAAAACCAGCTCTATTAAGTGCGATGGGAAAAAACAAGAAATAAGCCACGAACTAGTAAAAATTCCGTAACGTCTCGGATTCGATCTGTGACCTACAGATTTTGAGTCTCGCAAACTAACCACTCACGCTTAATAAATCAGAAACACTAGACACAAATACAGCAGAGAACAGATGCTAGGTCATTTCCAATGCTACAGATCGTGGTAATAGCAAAAGTGTCACCAAATATGTGAACACTTTTAATAAACACTTTTATTTACGAGTTCGGTTATAAAAAAAGAAGTTTCTTACTAATACACTAACACTCACAAACTGGCTAGTGTAAATTATGTGTCAAAATGTATTACTGCAGTCGACTCCAAAAAACATTTGTGACCATTTCTATTTAATTGTCCGAATAATTAATGTGCAAACCTTCAGTTGCCTTCTCCGATATAAAAGGCCAATCGGAAAAATTCGATCTTCAATTATTTGCAAAAAGTTAACATACTTTTCTCGTTCTCGGAAACATTTCTTGAGTGCCTTGCATAAGTTCGGGTCCGGACACAGATCCAGAGGTGTTTGTCCTTTTTTGTTCTGGATCAACAAGTCGGCTCCATTTGCAGCCAAGAAACATGCAATGGATGCGGAGCTCTTCTTCTCCGCTCCTTGTTGGCCCAGACCCATCAACAGTTTGCCCACGTCTTGCATATCTTGCAGCTGTTTGAGTTGCTTCAACGTGTGGTGTCTCAGAGCCTCGTGTAGGGGTGAGTCTCCGTCCTTGTCTTGTACGTCCAGACGGCACCCGTTGCGGACCAACAGCCGCACTATCTGGGTGTGCTGGCGTTCTACTGCCAGGTGCAGGGCAGTCTGGTAATTTGAGTTCTGAATGTCCAAGTTGGCCTTGCCCTGTTAATCCAAGAACCGATTTCTGTTTCAAAACGATCAAAAACTAACTGTGGATCAAGCATTTACACAACTTAAAAACTTCGATCAGGTGCAATCTAGGGTTTTCTCGAGGTGCGGTGGGAGAGAATTGTCAACACCTTTTCGGCAATTTTGTCAACCTTTTTTCAGGTCGTCCAAATTAGTGCGCTTTCCTTCAAACTTGGCATATATTGGAGCCAAAGGCGGGTTTAGAAAATTTTCAGAATTGGCCGGGGCCGAAAGTGGATGTCACAAAATAGCAACAAAGTGGGGACACTTTGGGCCGGCAGGTGGAATTCCTGAGGAGGAGGCGTCCCCTCCCAAATCTTTCCCTTCCCTGCTTGATACATTAAGTTTCACATATTCTAGAATATATGGAGCTAAGAGTGACAGTCGAAAGTGGCAAATCACAAATTTTTCACCAGGGAAACGCAAGCGTACCAGGGAAACTGATCATTATATTATGGATCATTTTAAAACTATCAACATTTGGTCAATCTTCTATAGTATAAAATATGATAAGATATGTTTGTGATGAGCGTATTTAAGAGAGAGGAAAGGGAGGAGTTGAGCGACTGACCTCTATGACTAGCAAGTGTGCCACTTCCACGTGGTTGTTCAGGGAGGCCAGGTGCAGTGCAGTGTAGCCGTCCTCTTTCTTCTCGTCCACAATCCACGGCCTCGACATCTTAGACAGCAGCTGCTTAGTCGCCCTAAGCACACACTCACTGACTCTCTCTCACACACCAACACAACTCATCTCAGGTATAGGTCTTCAATCCAAAGAACGGGTTGTAGGAAGCTCCTGTGCTCATGCGAATACGCCCAAATTTTTTATACACAAAAAACTATGGCCCACGGAAAAGTCAAGTTTTTGATTTTTTGAAAATTTTGAAACTTTTCTGAAAAACTAACGTCCCAAGTCTGAGGTTGTGGGTTCACTGGATACAACTGGTAGTGGGAAGCTCTCCTGCATTAGTAAGCCACGTAAATTTTTTACACAAAGTTATCGTGCTGGAAAATTCAATTTTTTAAAAATTCTTTTCTTAATTTTTTAAATGAATTTAACCAAAAATACCCTCCCATATCTGAGATTTTGCGGTCAACTCGAAGAACGATTTGAGGGAAGCTCCTTTGCATACGCGACTACCCCCAAATTTTCTCGACACAAAAAATTATGGCCTTCGGAAAAGTCAAAATTTTGATTCTTTGACAGTTTTTTTTTATTTTTTGGTTTTTCTCGAGAACTAACCGGTCTAACCTAGGTTTTTGGGTTCAATCGAAATAATAGATTGGGTGAATATCTTAAAAAAACACTTATGATTCTCAGAAATGTCAACTCTCTGATTTGTTGACCGTTATTTGGTCTTTTCTCGATAACTATTCTGCCAAATCTGATATCATAGGTTTAATCGACCCAACGGGTCTTCTCATTTATTTTAGTTAAAAACAACCAAGGTTTTGAGCTAAGTAAAATTTTTGAAATTACGTATTTTGTCCTGAATCAGTATAATAATAACAAAAAATATCAAATACTTACCTCCACCTTGAGCTGAGCCCTAGGTGTCCTTCATCGAAACATACAAAAATTTTGGTTCACCTAGTAATTTTCATTATATATTTTTTCGACTCAAGCTTTTTTTACGATTGTGTTGTATCGCAAGCGGTGCGAAGCTCCGCTTCGCCTGTGTTAACAAAATCACCCGAATCATGGGGAAGAATCTGAGCGCTATCTTTGTGTGCTGACATGCTCAGTTTTTTTTAAATACTAAAGTAAATACTAAATTTTTGAATATCTCCCCTTTTGGACCTTATTAACTATTTCCTCCTATGCATGTATTACTATGCAACGACATTGAGCTTCAACCTAAGGTTGTAAAGAATTCTGGTTAGATGATATAATGTTTTTTGAAAGTTTCAGGTGGGGCATTCATTTTTAGCAGTAATAGAGCAAGATATACCCCGCCCCTAATTTGCAGTAAGTGACATGAAATGATGTGTACTGACCCTGGGTTTCCCCTGAGTGCTGCGTGGTGTAGGGCGTTGAAGCCGTTGGTGTTTGTGACACACATGTCTGCCCTGTAGTCCAGCAACACACTCAGCATGTCGTCCCTCTTCCGACTGATGGCGTCGTGCAGAGGAGTGTCGCCCTCCCCGTCCTACACACACAACACACACTCACACTCATCCACTAACTCACCACACGTGTACGAACAGAATTCAGTCTACACTTCATTGATCAAAAGGTGGCTTTCCACAGTACACAGTGAAGATCACACTGACGCGGGCATTAGTATACCCTTTTTAGAGGGGCAGGCGGACAACTCTTCAGAAATTTTATCAGCTTTGCATAAAGCGATAACAATAATATACAAAATCCAACAATAATATACAAAATCCAATCCAAAAATGAAACTTGAACAAAAATTGAGTTTATCGGCGCGCAGCCTTCCTAAAATGCAGTAATATTGGCTCTTTACAAAAAATTTAGAATCAAAACTGAATGTCAGAAAATGGTTTCAAATGGGACCTTTTCTGTAGCAAAGAGCTCAAAACTCCTCAAAAAGTACAGTTTTATTCTTACAAAAAAACTAAATCAGAAAAATTGAAAAAAAAACATTTACTTATTGGTGTTTTTTCGAATTTTAACAACTAGTTTTACAAATCGGGATACCGGTTCGTTCATTGCCTTGTGCTCGTATTGTGGACATGTATGTAATTGGACTGTAATTGGTAATTGCCTGCAGATTTGGATGGCATCCGAGTTTGAGGAGTGCAATGAGCACCTGTTTGTGACCCCGGTTGACTGCCAGATGGAGAGGAGTCTGTCTCTTGTTGTTCCTCGCATTCAAGTCAGCACCCGCCTTGCCCAGCACCTCCACCACTTCCTTCTCGTCTCCAAGAGAGGCGTGGTGCATGGCCCTGTCCCCATCCTTGTCCTGAAACATCCAAACTACCCTTTTCTACCCTTCCACCAACACATTTAAACGGCTATTTTTTTGATGCAACCAGTGGCGGTTTCACACAGTTACATATCTAACAATACACAGAGGCTAAGTTGCACTCTGAAAACACCTTTCGAAAAACAGCAAAAAGGAGTCTTCGATGCAGTAAAAATAAAGAGCAAAATGAAATAAAAAACATGCCTTACTAACCAACTTCACACACCTCAGAATCTATGGGGCTGGAAATCAAACCTCCGAGACAAAAGTACATTGCTTTAACCACTTAGCCATGTTTTCTTTACTTAATTTACTTGAACGCTTGAAAGTTTTGGTCCCGCTGAAATTTTAGTCCAGTTTTAAAGCTGGAAGTTTTTTCTTGAAGCTTAACATTATTTTCTCGCACCATTTGCTTTTGCTATTTGGGAGCTTAATGAGCCTTACACTTAGACACAGAGTCAAAGTTGCACTTTGCAAACACAAGAAAGAAAACGACAAAATTAGCTGTGACACATGAAAAAAAGAAAGACAAAAATAAGCCTTCAAAATTAAAACTTCAATTGTGGGGAATTCGCACTTACGACCAGGATATTTGAACTCGGACGTCCAGTTTTAAATTTTAGTCCAGTTTTAAAGCTGGAAGTTTTTTCTTGAAGCTTAACATTATTTTCTCGCACCATTTGCTTTTGCTATTTGGGAGCTTAATGAGCCTTACACTTAGACACAGAGTCAAAGTTGAACTTTGCAAACACAAGAAAGAAAACGACAAAATTAGCTGTGACACATGAAAAAAAGAAAGACAAAAATAAGCCTTCAAAATTAAAACTTCAATTGTGGGGAATTCGCACTTACGACCAGGATATTTGAACTCGGACGTCCTCGCATCTGCGCCACGTGCCCTTGAAAACTTACTAACACTAGCCACCAATAAAGCAACTACATAAGCTAATAAACTGCCATTGCTATGCAGCAACAGTGGCACCAGATATAAATAGACACAAAATTTGCATGTAATAATTAGGAAAGTCATAAGCTAAGGGCATACAAACTAACTTTGCATGTAATAAATTGGAATTATCCATTAAAAAACAGATTTATTGATTTTGAAAATTTTTGTTTTTATTTAAGTATTTATGTTTGAAACGAATAGCTTTTTTCGGTTCTTTGATGAATTAAAAATGCATCAAGTGTGTTAATTTATAACTATTCGAATGTCAAAGCACAAGCTATCAAAAAGCTGTAACGGTGCCCCACCATTATTGGGGTGCCGCACAAAAATTTGCGACTTAGATTGAAAAAAAGAAGGTTCGTATTACTAATACACTAGCTTCGCTAGTGTAATTACTAAAAATTTTACCCTCTTTGGTTTTTGACCCACCCGCCTCTCCCAGAGTTAGAATATAATGTCTTGTCAAATGCGCTATACCGCCTTATTGACTACAAACACCAGACATTACTATGGCAGATACAACAAAGGCTATTAAATTATCATTGATTAAATTATCACTGGTAATTTAATAACTAACTTATTGGAGGTGGTATGAAAACAGTGGGGCTAGCTTCGAAAAAGAAACAAAAGACTGTATAAACAAATATTAGCTCAAATAGATAAAATATAGCCAGTAGAAAAATGAAGATGTCAAACCACTCAAGGAAACCGAAAAAGTGACAGAATTTCTAACCATCTTCCAATATTCGAAGAAAGACGCATCACGTTAATTTTCCATGATTGAAATCTTTCAGCAAAAACGACTCAATTGGTAAATGTTCTGATCCGCTGAAATCCACTTTGCAAACTAAACTTATTCACGTTTCTTCGCCCCATATGAAAATTCGTATGAAGAGACCGCAATTTTTCTTTAAGCAAACATTTGAATTGAAATTGAAAAAAAATCAAGTCTTAAAACAAAAAAATCCTATTTGAGCCTGATCAATTTTAAAGACTTTCAGGCGCTCAATAAGAGAAAAGTTAATAATTAAATTTGCATTTGCGAGTTTCAGCTTTGGTTTTGGGTAATAATTTTCCTGACTCGAAATAAAAACCACATGAAGGTAAAGCTACAATTCGCAAACGCAAGCGAAACAGGTGGCTAAAGGGAGCTTCCAAATGCAAGAAAATGCTATCATAAGGAAAAGAAATAAAATTGAAAAAAAACGAAAAAAAAGAAACAGTAAAAAATATTAATTTGTTCATATATTTATAAAGAATGCAACTTTCAAATTTCAAAAAAAAAATTATAAAATTGCCGAATTTCAAAAAAATGGATCAAAATTTAAATTCCACTTGGAAATAAGACAATTAAAATCCACGTTCGAAACTAAAAGCCGATCAAGATTTTCGTGAACTTTATACTTCTGCTGTTCGGTAGTTTAGTTTGCCTTCCTTTCAACAAAGGAAATAAACTTAACTTTACAAAAATCAAAAATGAAACCACAAAGAAAACATCATGACTTTTGCCCAGAGGCGAAGCTGTGCTTCGCAAACACTTGCCAGAACACGACAAAAAATCAGTTCTAAAAGCAATAAAAAAGAAATAAGCCTCGAAGTAGTAAAAAATCGGCTAAGAAAAACAGCAATAAAAAAAAAGAAATAAGCTTCGAATTAGTAAAAAAAAAATCGGCTAGGTCTCGCTTCGATCTAGGAGCTAGAGATTATGAGTCTCGCGCAATAAGCGCTCAGCCACGGAGGCTTTTTAAACCACAAACAATAGCCGCAAATATAGCAGAGAACCGATTTTAGCTTTTAATGACTATCTATTTGTGAGTTAGGTTGGAAAAAAGAAGGCTGTTTTTTTTACACTAGGCTTGCAAGCTCGATAGTTTACACAGAGGCGAAACTGCTCTTCGCGAACACAAGCGAGAAAAAATTCAAAAAGCGCTCTAAACAGGCAAATCAAAGTGAAAAAAAATAAAATCAAAAAACACGTAATTTTACTAACACTAGTCACCAATAAAGCAGCAAAAATTCGAGATAAAAAATATTTCAATGTCCCGGATTTGAAACTCCCACATGATGATTAGGAGTGTCATTCATGCCCTCGCAGCATCTGCGCCACGGTCAATTGGAAGTAAGCTAATGGTCAAGCTAATGCTAGACCTACCTGTTCAAATATTTATAATCATACATTGTACTGATACGGAAATGCGTAATTTTCACAATTTCAAAAAATACTACTCGACACTGACTACTCGAAATTCTCTGCTTAACTAGGTGATTAACCGCTTATTTAAAGGAGAAAAAAAACTACTAACCATTTTTCAACTGAAGTCTTAATCTCATATTTGGCTGGATAAATTTTGAAAAAAGAGAAAAAGATTCCAAAGGAACAAAAAATCAAAAATTCAACTTTTCCTATATCCATTAACTTTTCACCACATGGGGATAGTCTCTGCTTTCCACAATCTGATGTTTCATTGAAAATTTCCTGGCCCTGATTTTTTAGATTGAACCTTTAATATCAGATTTAGCTAGTAGTTTTTGAGAATAGTGATGAAATTTCTTTAAAAAAATCGGTAACAACTTGAAAAGAATTTTTTTCTGAAGTCCACATCAGCTTTTTTACAAAAAAAAAATGGGTAAAACAGAATAAGCAGTAAAAAACCTAAGCACCACGATAGTTAGTATAAGCTATAAACCCCAGAATCAGCAGGTTAGTTTTTGAAGAAAAAGAAGTTTCCAAAAGAAACATTTTAAAAACTGGACATTTTCTAGGGCCATTTTTTTCAAAACACATGGCACAGCCGCTGGCGGAAAAAAAAGTCTCGTTGCGTAAGAAAGAAATAGATGGCCTTAAAGCTCTTTGAATTTGTAGAAAAACCTATTATGGACACTTTTTTGTTAAAACTAACTTAATTTGAGGAAACGGGATTGTTAGCTAAAACTTTTATTTAGCTGGGAAATCTGATGAATAATTTCATTTTGGAAATAAGAAGTCGATCACGTTTTTCGTGACCTTTACAGTTTTGCTGTTCGATAGTGGAGTTTGCCTTCCTTTTAACAGAAGAAATGCACTGAACTTGAAAAGAAATATAAGTCAAACCTAAACTTAAAATTGAGCGCGAACAAAAAGTTTTCCCTGAAATAAAATTTAAAAAAAACCAGCAACACCTATATAAGAGTCCTCGCTACGTTCATTACTCTTATTTGAAGTATACTAAAAGTGCCACCAAATGAGCACTTTTATTTGCGACTTAAGGTAGGAGAAAATTCTTCGTAACAATACACTACGCTTCGCATGTGTAAAAAAAATTCGGATCAACTTAACAATCTCCCCACCTTTCAAGAAAGGAGGAGAGATTGTTAAGTAGATTACTTTCAGCGAATTTTCGACCAATCAGAATGCAGCAAAATTTGAATTTACATACAACGCTCTAGTGCGAATTTATTGTTTGTATTTACAGGGATGGAGATTCTTTAGTAGATATCATAAGGCGGGGGATTGTTAAGTAGATCCAACAATTCTTGTGTAAAAAAATTGCGCTAGTTGCATGAGTGATGTGTTGAGTACCTGTGTTTCGAGGTTTGCGTTGAATTTGATGAGTAGTTTGACGGCGTCCACGTGCCCATTCTGACTGGCAGCCTGGAGTGCCGTGTGTCCCGCAAACAGACCATTCACCACTTGGCCACCGCCAGACGACTCTAAGGCACGGAGAAAAGAAATGACTGAATCGCATCATTCAATCAGTTCGTAGGCAGGTCATTTTGATGATTCGATATTCAAATCCATCGACCACTCACTTCTCGGTTTGTGGAAGTCGCTATCTTTTAGCGACTATTAGCAACCTGTCGAGAAGTAGCGACCTGTCGCTGATTAACGACCGAGTGATCACCCTGGTTTGAAACAAATAGCTGTTTTGGTTCATTTGATGAATTAAAAATGCATCAAATGTGTTAATTTAATCCTTTTCGAATGTCAAAGCACAAGCTATCAAAAAGTTGTTAATGTGTCCCACTATTATTGGGGTCCGCACTATAAAATTGTCGCACCAATATTTGCGACTTAGGTTGGAAAAAAAGAAAGGTTCGTATTAATACACTATTATTAATACGCAAAGGATATTTTCATATAATTGATTTCTACTCTAGCTTTTAGGCAAAAAATTGACGCTGAGTACATTAACTGTTACGGCTATAATATGGGAGCGCATTGGAAGAAAAAGATTTGTTTGTTGATGTAGATGTGTTTGTTCGTGTATGTGCGTGCGTGTGTGTGTGATTTACCAGTTGAAGATGGTGCTTCGTTCTGGTTGGCTGAGAGTCCACTGGAGGAGAGGAGGAGTTCTATCCTCTGCGTGTCCCCATTGGCGGCTGCTTTCACCAACTCCTCGTGAGTCTCTCCAGTGATGGGGGTCTCGAACAGCTTCTTCAGCAGCTGCGACAATCTATCTGCCAGTGAGTCAACAAATAATAATAACAACAATCACTTCATTTCCTTCACAGTCACGAACAAATTACCGTATCCGATATTCACATCATAATTGCAGTTTATATGTAACTTGAATGAATATTACACTATCGTGAACACGACAAAAAGCAGCTCTAGAGTTCTAAAAAGTGCAATAAAAAAGTAAAAACAAGTCTCGAATTAATAAACTCTCGGATTCTACCTACGCCTTACTGAAATTATGCGTCTCGCGCACTAACCACTCAGCCACGAACGCTTAATCCTTCCCAATCACTAGCCTTAAATAAAGCCGAGACTAGATGCTATAAAATTTCCGCTGCTACAGATTGTGATTATAGCAAAAAAGCACATAAGTGAACACTTTTAATGAAAACTTTTATTTCGAGTTAGGTTAGAAAAAAGAAGATTCGTACTAAAACACCATCTGCTCGCTAGCGTAATAATTAACTAATTAGTATTGATACAACTTATGTCAACCAGAAAGATCTGCGAGGTAGCATCTTTCCAAAAGGTGAAAACGTACCCGCAACCAGTATTGACCCGAGCTAACCGTTACTATCACAGATTATCACCCTAATTACTTTCATGCATATTTCAAAGATTGGCCCATCAAGGGCCATTCTAGGCCCTATTAAGCAAACATTCACGATTGATCAAACTTGCCAACATCCCGAAAAATTTATAAAATAATTTTTTTTCCGCCAAGAATTTCATTCAAATGGAGGGTTATGAAGCTTCGGTAGAAACTATATACGATATTTTTTTAGAAGCTCTATCTGCAATTTTGCTAATCTTGTTATGAGAAGTCATTGGAACTCAAAAATAGCATGCAATTTTTCGGCTGTAAATCTTGAGGCTGTGCTTTTTGCAGAAGCACAAATTACCAGAATTGTTTGAGTCTGCAGTGTTTGCTCTGCTGTTGTTTTGATTGTGGAAGTGGACGTGGTGGTGACTACTGCTGTTGTAGTCTGGGTGGTGGGGGTGAGATGAGGTGGAGGAGGATGTCGTATTTGGGGGGTTGAGTTTTACCACGCAGAGGGGGTTGTATGTCCAACTGGTGCCACACACCTCCACTTTGATGTCGTTGTCATGGTAGATCTGCTGCACACGGCCCACTTTGCCCAGTGTCTACAAACAACCAACAAACAAACAAACATAACCAACAGACATTTGCCAAAGTGTAACACAACTCAGCAATCCGAAAAAAAAGTTGATTGAAAATTTTGAAAACGTAGATTGAACTGTCGAAAAAAAACTATCACGCTACAGGCATTTGAGATTTATGACCGAAATTTTTTTTCTTAAAATATTCCAATTAGAGCGAACTGGATTCAAATTAAGTTTTATATTCCGCTGGGAATTCAGAAAAATAATTCTAGAAATCAATCACATTTTTCACGAGCTTTACAGTTTTGCTGTTCAATAGTGGCGCTTGCCTTCACTATAAAAAGGAAAAGAACTGCACGTTAAAAATTTTAAAAAATCATACTGCAAGTCAAACTGCAAAAATCAGATTTGAAAAAGAACAATTGTTAAGAATCTTTCCAGAAAACAAAAGAAAGAATCATCATGACCTATATAAAAGACTATCGCTTCGCTAGATAAAAAGAAGGTTCGTATTAATACACTAAGCAGACACAAGTGTAATAAAAATACTTTATGTATGTATAATATACATAGCGAGTAATGAAAATACGAACGCGCGGAAATGAAAACCCAATTAATTGCTGACATTTTTGAAATGCATATTCTATATAGAAATGATTGTCAAAAAATACATACATAGGAGGGGGAAATAGTTAACAAGGTATACAGAGGGAGGGCACAGTTAACAAGATACATAAAATGTAACAGCAACCAGAACTTTAATTAGCCTTTTCAAAAACTAAGCATTTCAGCACACTAAGATAGCGCTCATATTGCTCCCCATGATTGAAAGGATTTTGTTAAGACAGAGGCGAAGCGGAGCTTCACATCACTTGCGATACAACACAATAATGAAAAAAAGAATGAGTTGAAAAAAAGCATGAGTCAAAAGAAAAATATTGAAAAAAACTAGGTCAATCAAAGTTTTCGTATGTCTCAATGAAGGACACCTAGGGCTCAGCTAAAATTGGAGGCAAGTAATTGATATTTTTTGAATTTGTTTTACTGATTCGGGACGAGATACGCAATTTCGAAAATTTGACTTGCCCAAAACCTTGGTTGCTTCTTAACTAAAATAAGTGAAAAGAGTGAAAACTTTTGAGAATTTGGAATTTTTCCAAAGACCTAAAATTTCTCTAATAAAAAACTCAGGAGCACCCTCTTCTGCAGGAAATTTCGCCCAGCCATTTCTTTCGATTGCAATTTTCATCTCAGATTTGATAGGGTAGCTTTTAAGAAAATTCAAAACGTTTATAAAAAACGATAAAAAAAAAGAAGGTTCGTATTAATACACTAAGCAGACACAAGTGTAATAAAAATACTTTATGTATGTACAATATACATAGCGAGTAACGAAAATACGAACGCGCGGAAATGAAAACCCAATTAATTGCTGACATTTTTGAAATGCATATTCTATATAGAAATGATTGTCAAAAAAACATACATAGGAGGGGGAAATAGTTAACAAGGTATACAGAGGGGGTATAGTTAACAAGATACAAAAATGTAACGGCAACCAGAACTTTAATTAGTACTTTCAAAAACTGAGCATGTCAGCACACTAAGATAGCGCTCATATTGCTCCCCATGATTGAAAGGATTTTGTTAACACAGAGGCGAAGCGGAGCTTCACATCACTTGCGATACAACACAATAATGAAAAAAGCATGAGTTGAAAAAAAAACATGAGTTGAAAAAAAAAGCTTGAGTCAAAAGAGAATTATTGAAGAAACTAGGTCAATCAAAATATTTTTGAATTTTGATTCGGGACGAGATAAGTAATTTCAAAAATTTGACTTGCCCAAAACCTTAGTTGTTTCTCAACTAAAATAAGAGAAAAGAGAGAAATTTCTTTCGATTGCAATTTTCATATCAGATTTGATAGGGTAGCTTTTAAGAAAATTCAAAACGTTTATAAAAACGATCGATATCAAAAACCCGACTGTCCGAAATCGGTAGATTTTTTCTGATAAACTCAACAACTGGCCGGTAAAGTAGAGGAGATTCCCAAAATCGGGTTGCTCGATTTAACTCCTGAGAATTGACACGGTTTTTTTCTAGTCGAGTAGGAAAAGTTCCAGATGTGGTCCAATTTTCAAAAGCTGCACTTATTTATAGGCCATAAATTTTTCCTAAAAGAAACTGGGCCAGGCAAAATATAAAAGTAAGCTAAATATTAAAAAAATTGACTTTTCCGAGGACGATAAATTAATAAATAAAATATAAATAAAAGGCAAAATATAAAAACAAATTAACTTAAATAAATTATAAATAAAAGGCAAAATATTTTAAAAAAATTGACTTTTCCGAGGACGATAACTTTTTGTGTAAAAAAATGTGAGTGGCCCCGCTAATGCAAGGAAGCTTCCCAATAACCTGTTGGGTCGATTAAAACTATGAGATCAGATTTGGCAGGATAGTTATCGAAAAAAGTCCATATAACGGCCAACAAATCAGAGAGTTGACATTTTCAAGAATCATAAAGTTTTTTTAAGATATTCGCCTAATCTATTATTTCAGTTGAACCCAAAAATCTACGCTAGGCCGGGCAGTTCTCGAGAAAAGTGGAAAAATAAAAAAAACAGTCAAAAAGTCAAAATTTTGAGTTTTCCTAGGGCCATATTTTTTGTGTCAAAAAATTGGGGGTAGTCGCGTATTCAAAGGAATTTCCCACAACCCGTTCTTTAAATTTAATCTAAAACCTGAGATATGCGAAGGTATTTTTGGTTAAATTTATAAAATAGAAAACAAAAACGCTTAAAATCAAAAAATTGATTTTTCCGAGGACAATAACTTTTTTGTGTAAAGTATATGTGTAGTCCCGCTAATACAGGAGAGCTTCCTACTACCATTTATCTCCAATGAACCCACAACCTCAGGTTTGGGACGTCAGTGTTTGAGAAAAACTTCAATTTATTCAAAAACCGGCCAAAAAAATCAAGAACTTTGGAGTATTTGCGTCACCGAAGGGGCTTACCACAAACCGTTTTTTGGATTGAACCCAAAATCTCACATATGTCAGGATATTTTTTTATTACCTTCATAAAATTCAGAAAAAAAACGCTCAAAAAATCACAAAAAAATTGACTTTTCCGAGGACGATAACTTTTTGTGTAAAAAATGTGAGTGGCCCCGCTACTACAAGGAAGCTTCCCAATACCCGTCATTTCAATTGGATCCACAACCTCAAATTTGAGATGTTAGTTTTTGAGAAAAATAAATAAAAGATTCAAAAATCGGTTAAAAAAACAAAAACTTGACTATTTCCAAGGACATAAATTTGTGTGTAAAAAAAATTGGACAAAACTGTTTATGGACGAGCTTTTCAAACTCGTTCTATTCATTGAAACAAAGAAATCAGATTTGGTAGGCTACTTTTTGAGAAAATGAGAAGAAGTCACAAATATCGGTCAAATATTTCCTCCACAGAGCTTTTAGAAGGATACAAACAAAAGTCTCAAAAAAAATCCCAATAAAAGTTTTAAAAAAACCCATACACTTTCATAATACCTGTTTTATCAGACAGGAACTCGAGTAAAACATGAGTTCCTGAAACTCATATTAGCAACAGGACAAAACTTACAAGCGGAAACAAGGCCGACAATCTTCGAGCAGACACCAGTTGAGCCGAAATAAAAAAGATATTATGTGAAAAAACTTTCAAGTTCCCCTGAAACTACCCTGTAGTAACTAGTACTCAGCCAGTAGTGAAATTTGAACTTTCATGAAATTGAGCACGTCAGCTGAAGAGCATGTCAGGCGAAGATCATGTCAAGTGATTCAACTGATTTTGTTAAACTAGTTGTTAACTAGAAAAAAAAAGTCTACATTCCGATTTGATAGCGCTTGCAAATCGCAAGCGAAAACAGGTTTTTAACTTTAAAATTTTTGTATTCTGACTTGATAACGCTTGCTAACTGCAAGCGTAATTAGAGAAAAGTTCATAAAAAAACAACAAATACAAATATCAAAATTCTGAACACAGTTGCCGAAATTTACAGTATTGCGCCTATTTGTAAATCCCAATCAAATATCCCAAAAAACCAACTGCATTAATAAAACCAATTGTACCACGTTGAAAACTCTTCCGTCAAAACAAAGGACAAAGTGTCTACTGATGAATCAAAACGACCATTTGTTCAGTGCAAACTAACTAACAAATAATATTTAGACCTCACAAATTTGTTAGCGATGAAAGAAACGCTTTTCATTGCGTTTCTCTCATCGCTAACAAATTTGCGAGATCTAAATATTATTTGATAGCCACGAGGTTTCAGCGAAAATACATTAGAACTAAGAAAATAAATCCATCAGTAGTTATAACCGGAAAGCCACGAATTGGACACCGAGACGAAGTTGTAACTTCGCAAACACGAGCGAGAAAGCGGCAAAGATTCAGGAGCTTTAAGATGCACAAAACCTCGATATTTGCACGAAATCAATTGAAATGTAATTAGCTAAAGACAATCATACTAACATTGCATGTAAATTATGCATTTCAAAATTCTTGCGAAGTACATATCTAATTATTATACTTATGTACGAAACCAATAACTTTTTCGGTTCAATTGACGAATTAAGAAAGCAGCAACTGTGTTAACTTATTACTTATCAAATTTGCGTCTTAGGTTCGAAAAAAAAGTTGCGTACTATCATACTACGCTACGTTCGTGTACATAATTAAACTATCTGAAAAAAAAAGTTGTCCCGTAGACTGTAAATTGAAGACCACGTGTTCAACTATTTTTCATCTTGTAACATTTGGTATAATTTTGATCGAATTAAAACAGATGGTAGGATTATTACCGGCATCATAGCCACCGCCCACTCCCCGTGGCCCCTTTGCAACCCCTTCATTCTCTCGGCATCACTGATCACCTGCACTATGTCCCCCACTTGCAACGCTCCCGTCACTCCTGCCCCGATGCTTGCACCCACCCCTCCCACTGCACCACGAGGAGAGTTGCTTCCGTTACTACCTGTTCCCCCTCCTGTTAGACCACCGACTGAGTTGTCGGGGTCATGCTCGAAGCTGTCACTAGTGTGGAACGAGGGTGGGTTGTCCAGAGAGTTAGTTAAGAGAGAGGGAAAAACGCGGACTCTCTTCAACACTGCGGGGTTGAATGTCCACCTGCAAATTAAAATACACTGATTCGAGTCACTAGCTTGTGAAGAGGACAACTACAGTGCTGATTTAATTTATCCGCACAACACGAATTCAACTTGGAACTTAAAATCGTATTTCTCAATTTGGGTTAATATTACACAAAAAACGACAAGGAAAAAAGTGCATTTTTAGCAAACATTGGACTTTTTTATAGTCAATTAAAACTAAGCCAAAACTAGTTACAATTGCTCGAATTCTAAATCAAAGTGAGCCTATGCAGCTCAAAAAACTTTAAAGATAATATAACCTTAAATTTGTATGAATCAACATATTTTCGTTTGATAGCGAAAAAAGTCATTTTAGCTATTTAAACACAAAGATGAAGCTGCTGCTTCGCAAACACGAGCGAGAAAGCGGCCACAGATTCGGCTTTAAAATGCACAAAAACACAAACTTGATTTGACCACAGAGGCCAAGCTGTGCTTCGCAAACACAAGCTAGGATCAGATTTAACCAAATTTGATTACAGAGGCGAAGCTGTGCTTCGCAAACACAAGCTAGGAAAACGCAAAAAAAAGACCTCAAAACAGGCGAAACACAGTAAAACAAGGTTAAAAATAAAAAATACACCAAGAAATTGTGTTGAGATTAGGAATACCACATTCTCACATCTGCTCCATGATCGAAAAAAAAGCGAAAAAGATTCCAAAAATTGATCAAAAGTTTGGCTTTTCCTAAATCCATTTATTTTTCACTACTAAAGCATGGGAATAGCCTCTACTTTGCGCACCCTGATTTTTAGATCGAAGATTTCCGCGTCCTGATTTTTTTTAGATTGAACCCTTAATATCAGATTTAGCTAGTAGTTTTTAAGAATAGTGACGAAATTTCTTTAAACAAATGGTAACAATTTCAAAAAAGAATTTTTCCGATGTCCATGTCAGTTTTTCAACAACAAAAAAAATAAATAAAACAGATAACGCACGAAATTTCTAAGCACCATGTGACTTTAAAGGAACTACCACCCTCAATCAGCAGGTTAGATTTGAAAAAAAAAAGAATAACTTTCCAGAAAATGGGCAAATTTCTCTGAGGCCATATTTTTTCAAAACGCTTTGCATGTCACAATTGCATAACTTATTTTTTCTTTCGATTACACCCTTAATCTCCGATTTGGCAGGGTAGTTGTTGAGAAAAGTCAAAGATTTTCAAAAAAATAAACCAAAATGTCAAAAAATGGGCTTGTTTGAGGCCATAATTTTTTTCTACCAAATTTTAAAAAAAAACCACTTGGGAAGGGTAAATCCCTATAGTTTAAATTTTTGATTGGAAACTTCATATCAGACTTGTGCATATAATATTTGAGAAAATGAAAAAAATTCAAATCAAATAGGCCGAAAATCTCCGTACTGAAACTTTCGAAGGCCGTAGAACGTGAGGTAAAATGAAGAGAGATAAGCGCAATATGCAGGCACATAGAAGTGGAGTCGGCTTTTCTATTGGTACTATTTTTTTTTGGAAAATCGGTACAGTAGTTTTTGAGAAAAATTTATTTTTCTGCGAAAAGTGCAAAAAAATTTCCAAAGCGTCGCAAAAAAGAACAAAAAACAACAAATCCCATACATTTTCAGAAAATATATTTTTGATTCAAACAGGACCTAACACTAGCCAAAAACTAAGCAGCAACAGATGTCATTAAATCATTCATGTCCAAATACGCTTAAATATGATTACATTGAATAATATAAATAAAGTGCACCAAATGAGTACTTTTATTACTAGAAAAAAAATTGTTCGTAATAATACACTACGCTTGTGTAATGAATTATGCAAGTATCTTTTTTCATTTCAATTGATGAATTGAAAAAAGCATCAATTGTATTAATACAATACAAATAAGATAACAAAACACAGTATAAGGTCAACACAGCCGCGTGATTCAAAAGTACCACCTAAAGCAGCACTTTCAAGTAGCACTTTTATTGCGACTTGAGTAGGAAAAAAATGGCATAGTTTTATTACAATAAGCTTCGCCCGTGTAAATTCTAATTTCATATTTGAAAACAACTTTTAAACATTTTGCGCAAACTATTGGAGATTATCTTCTTAAAACTTGTTGAGCTACGTAAGAATCTCTCTTTGATAATCTTTTGTTAGCAATTGAACCGTTTGTTTTGACTCAATTGCCGCAATTGATTGACGTAATTTAATTGAAAAAGCCAAAAACTATACTTTTGCAAGGTGAAACTTTTGTCTTCATCATTTTCGCCTAATTTAAACCCAAATTTAAAAAAATAGAGTTTTAACTTAATTCGTTTTGTCCGGATAATTCAAATCTTGAACAAAAAAATGTCCATATCAGCTTCAATAACTTTACGAACCTTCTAGAATTTAAATACCTCACATGTGATACTTCAAAGTAGCTAGCCCACTTAATCTCATCAACGCTCATGCAATTAAAGGGGATATATGTCCTTACAAAAATATCATTTTTAAGACTTTTTAATACGTTTTTTGTGACTCATCGAAAAAAAAATATTCATTTTCAACTTATTGCTTTGCAATAAATTGCAAAGCAATAAATATTCAATAAAGCTATAAAACTTTCAAAATTTGAACAGTCAGAAACACTCAGGGCGATTTCCAGTCCCTTCTTTTTTCATAAAAAAAACTCACAAACGTTTATGAAAAAGCCTGATGTTCTAAATTGCAAAAAAAAATGTGAAAGCAAGAATGGCCTTTTACAATATTTTCTCATAAAAATGCCGTATAACAAATTATACTTTAATTAAGAAAGAGGGTAGGGGCAGAAGAAGAGTCCTACTACGACATGTGTTGTGCCCTTGGACAACCATAGTGCATTCTAGACATCTCAGGACATCACAATCGTCTACTGGTATATTATGCGTCTAAAAAGCGTACATGTAGCCTGTTGCGGCGGCTGTGTAATGAAGTATGAAGTATTGTATTGTGTGGTACCTGTTTCCACTGGGATAGGCGACCACTACGTCATTGTCCTCGTCCAATCCCACCACTGTGCCATGGGTGCCCACCTGTACACACTAAACACAACACAACAATCACCCACTCCAGCTCCCACACATCTTCAACATTCATTTAGAACCCTCTCAGTCTACTTGTAACAGGGCGGGCGAAGCGATAAACGCTCTCACTACTTTTCACAAAAATATAATTAAGTTGAACATTTCAGGATATTTAACAATATGCAGGAACAAATCAAACTGGATGATCAGTATGTGAATAATGAGTAAGTAGAAGTAGAAAAAAGCAACGCCATCTTAAACAGGTTCAGCAAAGACTGTCAAGTAAATCTCATTATATTTGTTGCTCATTTGATTTAATCATAAGTAAGTGTTTGATTCTGCTGTGTGGAATAGAAGACTCTAACTTTGTAAAGTAATTGAGGTCATAAACAGAATAATTAGCTATTCATTTCACATTCCCGCCCGCGCCTGTAACCTGCAGTTTATTAAGCATATCAGATTGAGTTTTTCAATCGATGAAGCTCTGAGCACGATTCCATTTTAACGGCCACTTTTACGGCAGGAATAAAAAGCCAGTGCAATGTAACTTAATGAGATGGATTAGATTTGTGAATTGACTTGAGTGTGTTGGGTATTGTATTCTATTTGTATATTGTACCTCCAACATGCCATCCGTCCACCCCCCGTGTCCCTGCTGGAATGACTTCACCACCTCACAGTCCAAGTCGATGTTGACCACATCTCCCACACTCAAACCACCCGCATTCGTCCTCCCACTCATTCCATTCACAGCAGAGGAAGAGTAGCGAGTGCCTGGCACTTCTCCCAGCAGGGGCAGATGGTCTCTGTAGAACGACCCTCCTTTCCCATCTGCTATCACTTTCACGTCAGACTAAAACAGACAATAAGCAGAGAATTTAAACTATGTAAAACATTGCGTGTACGAATACATCGTGTACGGAAAAGCGCAACGAACCCAAGGATACCGGAAAACAAAGAGAACACTTTGCAGAAAAAAATCTAAACGAGTTTCTGAGAAAAAAATATATCACGTTAGAGCTCTTTGAACTTTTAAATTTCAAAAAAAAAATTGTTAATTTTTCTTACATCACCTATGACAAAACTGGATCAAAAGGTTTTTTTAATTCAGCTGAAAACAATTTTTATGAAACAAGAAATCATTCACCTTTTTCGTGACCTTAACACTTTAGCTGTTCGATAGTGGAGTTTACCTTCATTTAACAGAGGAAATGAAATCACATGATGAACTCGATCTCTTAACTTAACTCATGAATCAACATTTTTGAGCACGAAGTAAACAATCTGAAAAATAAACAAGCGATTCGACGAACCCAGAAGACGCAGAAAACCGGGCTCATAACCTTGTCTCATGATCTGATTCAGTAAGCATCGCAAAAAGATTCAGGGAAAAATCAAACGAAACAAAGCTGAATGAAGACAAAGAAATTAAACCCGGACAAAAGAAGGGAGATGAAATTAAACATGATTGTTCACCAATGTCACATGACTCCGGAAAAAGCTCTCGGAAGTTGACATTTCATAGAAAAAAATTGAGTTATGCTCTCTTATATTTTCTATCAATTTACAAGAAACCGGATAAATTAGCCAATTTCTTGCTTAGCTAACATCAATTTATAAAAACGGATAAACTTGCTTATACAGTGCTGTTTTAAATTAACCGGACAAAACGCGTTAAACTTGAAATTTAAAAGGCATTTTTCTCAAATTGGGTTGAGTTTAGGTGAAAACTTATGAAGATAAAACTTGCTTAGAATTTTAGCAGAATTAATATGGTGTAATTTGTTTTGCGAAATTCGGGTCCGAAATTTTACCCCAAAAATGGGTAATTTTGGCTTTTCTTAGTTAATCAAAAATTAAGCCGAAAATACTCAGTCGATCACAGACATAATTATATCAAAGTGAGCCCCTTACGTAGCTCAACAAACTTTAAGAAGGGTATTTTCTCCAAAAAAAATTGTATATTGTTTAAAAATTGTTTTTAAATAAAAAGTTGGTATTTTATAAAGTAAAAATGAACTTTTTTGTCTATCAAATAAAAATAAATTAACTTACACAATATTTTGGAGATTATACCCTTCTTAAAGTTTGTTGGGCTACGTAAGTGGCTCACTTTGATATAATTATGTCTGTGATCGACTGAGTATTTTCGGTGTAATTTTTGATTAACTAAGAAAAGCCAAAATGACCCATTTTTGGGGTAAAATTTTGGACCCGAATTTCGCAAAACAAGTTACACCATATTAATTCTGCTAAAATTCGGAGCAAGTTTTATCTTCATAAATTTTCACCTAAACTCAACCCAGTTTGAGAAAAATGCCTTTTAAATTTCAAGTTTAACGCGTTTTGTCCGGTTAATTTAAATCAGCACTGTATCTTGCCCATAATTTTGACGTGATTGTTTTAATTGAAAGTTGTAGAGTTGTGATTGATTTAGCTGATCGCCATGAAATTTCTAAGCATTTCTTCAGATCTGTTAATTAATGCAGAACTGAAAAAAGGCGGTAGTATAGCCTTGATTTGCAAATCGTCTGTTAAAATAACAGAAGAAACAACACAGCAACAAAAACAACGAAATACTGGTCGTAACTCAGAAACCAACAGTTACAAGTTCATCATGGCATGTATGTATAGATCGCCAAAGGGAAATTTAAAAACTTTCATTTTTTTAAATTGAGACTGCTTCTTTAGTCACTAGAAAACGAAATAATCAAACTTTGCGGTTTCAATGTACAATTTAAAAAATCAGATTTTTAAGAAATTATATTCGAATGAATGACTTCAACGAAGAGTTTGAAAAACAGCAACACTTGAAAGGCCAACGCATAACCATATGAATACATTGGACCTGCTTATCATTAGTGGGTATTCATATATCAGTTAATTAAAAATCTAAGAAGAAAATTTCTCTAATCATGCTTGATTTACATTGGCTAACAGACAAGCACAGAAAAAAATCAGATTTGTAAATTGCATTAATTACCAGCCTGAATGTATACCTGCTTATCTCCATGTCTGTTTTGTTCGTAGTCACAAATCAAAACCGCAAAAAATTCTTCTAACATAGCGAAGAGCATGAAACGATTAGGTGCATCCCGCTCGCGGACTAAATCCCCCAGGATAAAATCCCACCGGATTAGGTGCATCCAAGTAGAAAAAATGGCTTTAGAATGTTGTGAACTATATCGTTTAAAGTGTTTCGCAGACTGACCATGCCCTCGAATCCGACTCGGTAGAGGTTCTTGGAGCCGTGATCCCACAACACATAGGCTGCACTGCGGGGACAGTTGGCACTCCAGTCCATTATCTCGGTTATCTTTCCTCTTCGATTCATTCCTCCGTCTTGCTCCTTAAACACAAAACAAAACACTCTCAAATAACACCACCAATCAACAGCTACGGCTCAGTAAAAAGGCCAGCCAAGTTGCACTACGCAACAAAAAATTAATGTGAAACTTATTTGAGCCGTTTAACTAAAGAAAAACTAGAAAAACGGTCAAAATAAAAGTGTTATTAACACAGAAGCGTAGCGAAGCCGGATTTTTTTTTTGCAAAATTCAGTTGATAAAACTACTTGAAAGAATCCGACTTGAGGCGCCAACTGAGGTAAAAAAAACTGATTGACCACCTGCTGAATCGAATGATGCGGGATTAAATGCCTGAATATCAAAATTTCAAAAATTGGCCTTTACCGACACCCTTCGTGGCTTTTACTCAAATAAGGTTTTGGTCGCTTGTGTAGTGGGAGACTACTTTTTATTGAACTCAATATCATTTTTGGCAGGGAAGTTTACAAAAGGAAAAATTTCCAAAAAAAAACTATTTAAAATGGACGATTCCTAAACCAGGTCAGCTTTTCTACAAATGAACTCTACGCCATTTTTTACAATTAAATCATTAAACTCAGAATTGGCGGGCAGTGCTTGAGAAAAAAAACTTTCCAGAAAGATCGATATCTAAAAAATTTTGACTTTACAAGTTATTACACTTTTTCTACACAAAAGCCGTAAGTGCTGTGTCGATTAAAATTATAATCGCGGATCCACTTACAGAAGGAACATTCCCACAACCAGTGTTTTCGACGATTAGGCAGGGTACGGTTTTCGACAAAAGTGACACTTGCGAAGATTGCAAAAACGCTGTAAATTTCGGAAAATGATTTTTTCCAGAAGTCAAAACAATTTGCACAAGAAGTTGAACAGTTGCAGCTTCTGCTCATAAAATCTCACAGCATTTTCTTTCAAATAAACCCTCAATACAAGATCTGTCGAAAAAAAGTTTCCACAAAACGTCTCAAAAAACGGATTTTTCGGAAGATTTTTCATAAGACAAAAACTAAGACAAAAAATCGCACATATTTTCATAATACTTGAATTTCTCGAACAGGAGTTGTTTGCTCTCGCAATACTTAAGACTTTGCAACTTAAGACGAAGCTAATAAAACAAGTGGAAAACGCTCAATAAAAAAAAAACAATATCCAAAATCAGACTGGAAAAAATGACAAAACTTTAACAAAAAATCCATGATTACAAATTAAGCCGAGAAAAACAATAACAGATAAAATAAATGCTTTAAAAAAACAAAAAATGAACCGACGTAAACAACGCCAAACCAAGAATCCAAAAAATCTACATTTTTTCAAGAATTAAAAAAACAAGATAATTGCCCGAAACATACTCCATCTATTTAAAACCTAAATACAGTTAGTTTTATTTAAACTTTTAAGAAAATGAGCATGTATTAAAACTCACCCTTCCTGCAAAATTAACCTTTCTGTGATTATAATAGTTTTTCACGGGAAAAAAGTCTCGATTGCAAATTACGGGAAAATAGTACCTGATTGCAATACCCTTGCTTAAGCAAGGGTAAATAAGGAAGGGTGAATTGCTTAATTTGCGACGATTCGATACCAGCGAGAAGTCAATACACGCGAAAATTCATCACAAGACATTGAAAAGTAGCAAAAGCTTGCCCTGCTACACTTATATTCGGCACGGGAGAAACATTTGCAGCCGAATCTACTGTTACGAACATTCACCTGTTACGAATTGTCGCCTCACACCGGAATACTTGGCTGCCTACGCTACAAGCAAATAGAAAGGTCGTAAAAAGCGCACATTGAATTTTCTAATTCAGTCCCTACTTGATTAAATATCTCCAATAAGTTCTCAAAACGGCATTGCTATTTTTAAAACTTGCCTGCTGTGCAGAGCAGAATGCCTTTGGCTTAATAAATTCTTTCTACTACTTTGGGAGAGGTCGGAACCTTTATTTGGTCGACCTTTGCCTCCCTTGGAAAAATTCTAGATCCGCCTTTAAATGTAGCGCTCGTAATACAACATAAGGGCTGCTGTGTAAATAACTAACATGAGAAACATATTAATACAGGGGCAGATTTAGGATTCGAGCCAGAGACCACCCAAAGGGTTTAGTTTTTAAATTTTACTCTCGGCGGGAGAGCACCAATTGAAACTTTGAGAGGTGAGTGATCAAAATGGCAACATTTTGGTGAAATAGGATTTTTATATGGAAAACCAACTAAGGCGACCTAAAAAAGTAATCAAAATGTTAATTGAAAAATGAATCATGAAGAAATAGAGGGGACGATCTAGGACCCATATTCAAAATGCAACAGCTGCATACTTTACAAAAATTAAATTATTTCCAATTCGAAAAAAGTTGAAAATCATCTCGCAAATAAACATGATTGGATGCCTCGTATGTTCAAGCTAACAACTAGGCAATAACCACTGCCCATATTGTTTTCCATTAACTACCCAAAAAACACGCATTCGCTGAAATTAAATCACAAGAAGTATCGGAAACTCTCAAACTCAAAATTGAACTTGCCGGCAACTATTCCTGATGAGCCTGATTGTTTGACAATTCTAATTGATAAAAATGCTTACATCCCACTGCCAGTCGACGCCCCTGACTACTCTGGCGCCTGCGAATATGCCCCTGGCCACCACCTTCTTGCTCTTCCTCCTCGCCTCCACCACCACTCCCTCACTGCTCCCATTGGCCACACGCACAAATCTACACAACAGGCAAGCATTTGGTTACCTCGTTCTAATCACACTGGGGCCCTGTGATCTAGGTTTCCGTCCAATTCCCAATGTTGAGAGTCACCGATCTGCCTTTAATCTGCATATGTTAGCAATCACTTGCTAAACATCATTGCCAAGTCCACAGGAGAAAAATCCCTAGCTTCAAGGGCGTATCTAAGATTTTTCGAGGTAAATTGACTTTCGAACAATCGTAAAAACTTTCAAAACTTTTGCCAGCTTTTTTTAGGTGGACCAAATTTTCCGCGAACTCCCAGAACATTATAAAAACCCTATTTTTTTACAAAATTTCAACGCCTCAAAGAAAAGAAAGAATTAGTTTTTTCATGTATAAACAAATACATCAACAAAAAATTATCAATTACAGGAATGTATACTGGCCCACTAACCGTTTACTCTTGATGCTGAATCAAAGAATTAACAAGGCAATCAAAGAATTAACAACAAACAGAAGAAAACTGTTCTTTATATTACTGTTATCTTAAAGATCAAAAAAACGAATAGGTTTTTTTTCTCAAATCCGATTCAAGCAGCTAGAAACAATAGATAGGAAGACCTGCTGGTCCAATCATCATCTACCGTTAATCAAGATTTAAAAACAAAAAAAAATTTTTCTTTACAACTAATTTTTAAAAATTTAGCGAGTACATTCAGAAAAAATCTAAAAACGTCGATACAGCTCGAAAACTAAGAAGACTCCGGAAAAAGCTCTCGGAAGTTGACATTTCATAGAAAAAAAATTGAGTTATGCTCTCGTATATTTTCTATCAATTTACAAGAAACCGGATAAATTAGCCAATTTCTTGCTTAGCTAACATCAATTTATAAAAACGGATAAACTTGCTTATACAGTGCTGATTTAAATTAACCGGACAAAACGCGTTAAACTTGAAATTTAAAAGGCATTTTTCTCAAATTGGGTTGAGTTTAGGTGAAAACTTATGAAGATAAAACTTGCTTAGAATTTTAGCAGAATTAATATGGTGTAATTTGTTTTGCGAAATTCGGGTCCGAAATTTTACCCCAAAAATGGATCATTTTGGCTTTTCTTAGTTAATCAAAAATTAAGCCGAAAATACTCAGTCAATCACAGACATAATTATATCAAAGTGAGCCCCACGTAGCTCAACAAACTTTAAGAAGGGTATTTTCTCCAAAAAAAATTGTATATTGATTAAAAATTGTTTTTAAATAAAAAGTTGGTATTTTATATAGTAAAAATGAACTTTTTTGTCTATCAAACAAAAATAAATTAACTTTCACAATATTTTGGAGATTATACCCTTCTTAAAGTTTGTTGGGCTACGTAAGTGGCTCACTTTGATATAATTATGTCTGTGATCGACTGAGTATTTTCGGTGTAATTTTTGATTAACTAAGAAAAGCCAAAATGACCCATTTTTGGGGTAAAATTTTGGACCCGAATTTCGCAAAACAAGTTACACCATATTAATTCTGCTAAAATTCGGAGCAAGTTTTATCTTCATAAATTTTCACCAAAACTCAACCCAGTTTGAGAAAAATGCCTTTTAAATTTCAAGTTTAACGCGTTTTGTCCGGTTAATTTAAATCAGCACTGTATCTTGCCCATAATTTTGACGTGATTGTTTTAATTGAAAGTTGTAGAGTTGTGATTGATTTAGCTGATCGCCATGAAATTTCTAAGCATTTCTTCAGATCTGTTAATTAAAAAAGGCGGTAGTATAGCCTTGATTTGCAAATCGTCTGTTAAAATAACAGAAGAAACAACACAGCAACAAAGACAACGAAATACTGGTCGTAACTCAGAAACCAACAGTTGCAAGTTCATCATGGCATGTATGTATAGATCGCCGAAGGGAAATTTAAAAACTTTCATTTTTTTTAAATTGAGACTGCTTCTTTAGTCACTAGAAAACGAAATAATCAAACTTTGCGGTTTCAATGTACAATTTTAAAAAATCAGATTTTTAAGAAATTATATTCGAATGAATGACTTCACCGAAGAGTTTGAAAAACAGCAACACTTGAAAGGCCAACGCATAACCATATGAATACATTGGACCTGCTTATCATTAGTGGGTATTCATATATCAGTTAATTAAAAATCTAAGAATAAAATTTCTCTAATCGTGCTTGATTTACATTGGCTAACAGACAAGCACAGAAAAAAATCAGATTTGTAAATTGCATTAATTACCAGCCTGAATGTATACCTGCTTATCTCCATGTCTGTTTTGTTCGTAGTCACAAATCAAAACCGCAAAAAATTCTTCTAACATAGCGAAGAGCATGAAACGATTAGGTGCATCCAAGTAGAAAAAATGGCTTTAGAATGTTGTGAACTATATCGTTTTAAGTGTTTCGCAGACTGACCATGCCCTCGAATCCGACTCGGTAGAGGTTCTTGGAGCCGTGATCCCACAACACATAGGCTGCACTGCGGGGACAGTTGGCACTCCAGTCCATTATCTCGGTGATCTTTCCTCTTCGATTCATTCCTCCGTCTTGCTCCTTAAACACAAAACAAAACACTCTCAAATAACACCACCCATCAACAGCTACGGCTCAGTAAAAAGGCCAGCCAAGTTGCACTTCGCAACAACAAAAAAATTAATGTGAAACTTGAACCGTTTAACTAAAGAAAAACTAGAAAAATGGTCAAAATAAAAGTGTTATTAACACAGAAGCGTAGCAAAGCCGGATTTTTTTTTGCAAAATTCAGTTGAAAAAACTACTTGAAAGAATCCGACTTGAGGCGCCAACTGAGGCAAAAAAAACTGATTGACCACCTGCTGAATCGAATGATGCGGGATTAAATGCCTGAATATCGAAATTTCAAAAATTGGCCTTTACCGACACATTTCGTGGCTTTTACTCAAATAAGGTTTTGGTCGCTTGTGTAGTGGGAGACTACGTTCAGTTCTTTTCATTGAACTCAATATCATGTTTGGCAGGGAAGTTTACAACAAAAGGAAAAATTTCAAAAAACTATTTAAAATGGACGATTCCTAAACCAGGCCAGCTTTTCTACAAATGATCTTTACGCCATTTTTTACAATTAAATCATTAACCTCAGAAATTGCGGGCAGTGCTTGAGAAAAGAAACTTTCCAGAAAGATCGATATCTAAAAAATTTTGACTTTACAAGTTATTACACTTTTTCTACACAAAAGCCGTAACTGCTGTGTCGATTAAAGTAATAGTCGCGGATCCACTTACAGAAGGAACATTCCCACAACCAGTGTTTCCGACGATTTGGCAGGGTACGGTTTTCGACAAAAGTGACACTTGCAAAAACGCTGTAAATTTCGGTCGGAAAATGAACTTTTCCAAAAGTCAAAACAATTTGCACAATAAGTTGAACAGTTGCAGCTTCTGCTCATAAAATCTCACAGCATGTTCCTTCAAATGAGCCCTCAATACAAGATTTGTCGAGGGAAAAACAAAAAGTTTCCAAAAAACGTCTCGAAAAACGGATTTTTCCGAAGACTTTTACAACTTGGTTTTCTACAGATGTAAATTCGTACCAGCTTATGCAGCAAAGAAGACCAAATTCTGTTTTTTCAATTAAACCACTGATCTTAACATGGAGCAGCCGTTCACGCATAGAATGTTCTAAAACGTGTTTATTGATGGAACTCTTAACCTTAAAATTGAAAGGTTTTTTCCAATAATCGTGTAAGTTTCAACCATAAGACAAAAAATAAGACAAAAAATCCCACATATTTTCATAATACCTGAATTTCTCGAACAGGAGTTGATTGCTCTCGCAATACTTAAGACTGAAATTTAAGAGGAAGCTAATAAAACAAGTGGAAAACGCAATCGAAAAAATATTCGAAAAAAAAACAATATTCAAAATCAGACTGGAAAAAATGACAAATTACAACACTTTAACATCGAAAATCCATGGTTACAAATTAAGCCGAAAAAAACATTAACAGATAAAATAAATGCTTTTAAAAAACAAAAAATGAACCGACGTAAACAACGCCAAACCACGAATCCAAAAAAAAAATCACATTTTTTCAAGAATAAAAAAAACAAGATTATTGCCCGAAACATACTCCACCTAATTAAAACCTAAGTACAGTTAGTTGTATTTAAACTTTCAAGAAAAATAGCATGTATAAAATTCACCATTCCAGCAAAATTAACCTTTCTGCGATTATAGTTATTCACGGGAAAAAATCTCGATTGCAAATTACGGGAAAATAGTACCCAATTGCAATACCCTTGCTTAAGCAAGGGTAAATAAGGAACATATCTGGTAGGGAGAATTGCTTAATTTGCGACGATTCGATACCAGCGAGAAGTCAATACAAGCGAAAATTCATCACAAGACATTGAAAAGTAGCAAAAGCTTGCCCTGCTACACTTATATTTGGCACGGGAGAAACATTTGCAGCCGAATCTACTGTTACGAACATTCACCTGTTACGAATTGTCGCCTCACACCGGAATACTTGGCTGCCTACGCTACGAGCAAATAGAAAGGTCGTAAAAAGCGCACATTGAATTTTCTAATTCAGTCCCTACTTGATTAAATATCTCCAATAAGTTCTCAAAACGGCATTGCTATTTTTAAAACTTGCCTGCTGTGCAGAGCAGAATGCCTTTGGCTTAATAAATTCTTTCTACTACTTTGGGAGAGGTCGGAACCTTTATTTGGTCGACCTTTGCCTCCCTTGGAAAAATTCTAGATCCGCCTTTAAATGTAGCGCTCGTAATACAACATAAGGGCTGCTGTGTAAACAACTAACATGAGAAACATATTAATACAGGGGCAGATTTAGGATTCGAGCCAGAGACCACCCAAAGGGTTTAGTTTTTAAATTTTACTCTCGGCGGGAGAGCACCAATTGAAACTTTGAGAGGTGAGTGATCAAAATGGCAACATTTTGGTGAAATAGGATTTTTATATGGAAAACCAACTAAGGCGACCTAAAAAAGTAATCAAAATGTTAATTGAAAAATGAATCATGAAGAAATAGAGGGGACGATCTAGGACCCATATTCAAAATGCAACAGCTGCATACTTTACAAAAATTATTTCCAATTCGAAAAAAGTTGAAAATCATCTCGCAAATAAACATGATTGGATGCCTCGTATGTTCAAGCTAACAACTAGGCAATAACCACTGCCCATATTGTTTTCCATTAACTACCCAAAAAACACGCATTCGCTGAAATTAAATCACAAGAAGTATCGGAAACTCTCAAACTCAAAATTGAACTTGCCGGCAACTATTCCTGATGAGCCTGATTGTTTGACAATTCTAATTGATAAAAATGCTTACATCCCACTGCCAGTCGACGCCCCTGACTACTCTGGCGCCTGCGAATATGCCCCTGGCCACCACCTTCTTGCTCTTCCTCCTCGCCTCCACCACCACTCCCTCACTGCTCCCATTGGCCACACGCACAAATCTACACAACAGGCAAGCATTTGGTTACCTCGTTCTAATCACACTGGGGCCCTGTGATCTAGGTTTCCGTCCAATTCCCAATGTTGAGAGTCACCGATCTGCCTTTAATCTGCATATGTTAGCAATCACTTGCTAAACATCATTGCCAAGTCCACAGGAGAAAAATCCCTAGCTTCAAGGGCGTATCTAAGATTTTTCGAGGTAAATTGACTTTCGAACAATCGTAAAAACTTTCAAAACTTTTGCCAGCTTTTTTTAGGTGGACCAAATTTTCCGCGAACTCCCAGAACATTATAAAAACCCTATTTTTTACAAAATTTCAACGCCTCAAAGAAAAGAAAGAATTAGTTTTTTCATGTATAAACAAATACATCAACAAAAAATTATCAATTACAGGAATGTATACTGGCCCACTAACCGTTTACTCTTGATGCTGAATCAAAGAATTAACAAGGCAATCAAAGAATTAACAACAAACAGAAGAAAACTGTTCTTTATATTACTGTTATCTTAAAGATCAAAAAAACTAATAGGTTTTTTTTCTCAAATCCGATTCAAGCAGCTAGAAACAATAGATAGGAAGACCTGCTGGTCCAATCATCATCTACCGTTAATCAAGATTTAAAAACAAAAAAAATTTTTTCTTTACAACTAATTTTTAAAAATTTAGCGAGTACATTCAGAAAAAATCTAAAAACGTCGATACAGCTCGAAAACTAAGAAGATTTGGAGAATCATTTTTTTTAACACTGAAAAGCTGACTCATAGATGGTAGTCCAGTGGCATGTAGCCAACGAGTTTGGTTTTTGAAACTTACAAACAGAAAAAAGATATTACAATTTGTTTTGGGAGTTTTCCACCAGATAGATTTTCAAATTATGGTACAATTGAGAAATTGAAGAAAAAGAACTGTTTTCGATATTGGCAGGCATCAGACCGAAAACCCTTAGTTTGTTGAAGCGTTTTTAAACTATCGTTAGGCAAAATCGCTCTTTTACGTTTACAAAATGGTTCGGAGACCAAGCTAGAATCAAAAAATTTTCAAAATGAAAATCATTTTGAGCTTCTAAAACAAAATTAAGCAATTCACATACTCGAAAACAGTAAACAGTTTATACTTCTCGAATATATCATGACTCTTGATCTTTTTCTTTTCTAAAAATACGAATTTTAGTATTTTCTTCTGTAAGATAAGAATCAGTTCGAGCTGAGTATAGCTGCAACAACCGTAAATCAAAACAGCGTAGTGGAGAATCCAACTGCGGTGAGAAAGTTATTGAAATTATCGGCGACATTTTGGTCTGTTGCGTTATCATTTTCCTAATTGCATGATTGTAGCGAGGGAAAATTGACACTTAGATCAATTAAAATTTTGCCTTTCTTAAGTCTCCTGTACAATTTTTGATTTCATCCCAATAGTTGGCTTTCTTTGATGTTTCTACTTCTTTTGCAAACGATCTTATATTTATCAAACAATTGGAAATCATTCTGACTAACTTCCCATTTTTTTATGAGCAGCATTTCTTTTAGTTCTAAGGTCGCTAAGATAGTTTGTGAACCAGGGGGGTTTGTTTGTTGACTTGTTTCTGACGGTTTCGATTGGTGCAAACGTATAAAAAAAAATTCGAAAGAAGTTTTGAATAGATCAAAAACTTTATCTGGGTCATTAATTTCATAATTATCTAGTTTGACTGTTTCAACTTTTTGTTCTTTCATTTCCAGAAACTCGTTCACTTGTATTCGGTTTTCAATGAAAGACGTATCGCAGAAAAGGATTTCATTATCAAAAATATGGCACTTGATCAACCATTCTATGTGTCTTGGGTAAGGATTCGATAAGTTTGCAGTATTAAGAATAACTATGTGATTCCGATGTTTTGGACGATGAAATGATCCAAACAAGCTGAGCTGCTGGCTAGAACATGATTTGGTTCACAGCCGGAAATGTACAACCCTTTTAAATAGCCACATATCAAACAAGACTGCTCGTATCAGGGCGAAACCCTGAATGTTCCGACTGCCTTTTAAGGTTTATGGAGCAGTAATAACATTAAAAAATTAAATTTAAGAAAAAATAAAATGAAAATTTTTTTTCTCCAAAACTTGAAATTTTTTATGAAAATCATCCCCCCACACGCCATACAAAGTACAAAAGGATAGATTTTGCTCCTTGTAACAAACCAATTATGGCGAATAAGCTTCTTTTAACCAATTTGGAACGATTTCTAAGACGGATTAACACTCCGCTTACGCGTTAATAGCGCGAAATATATCGCGCGTTAATTGTCCCAAATTGGCCAAAATGGCAATCTTTAAACCCCCATAACTTTACGAAAAATGATCACAGGTGAAATATCTTTTCAAATTTGAGCTCAGGACAACAATACTTTTCGAATGATAAAAAAAACTCCGTCAAAAATGGCTAGTTAAAACCCACCTCGAGCACAAATATTCCGTTATTTTCGTATCGAAAGTCGGAACAATAACTTTGAGAAAGCAGATCTTCTTGCATCCAATCGATATTAAAATCGCCACATAAAATGAAGGGACGATTGAGATTTGACATTTTTCTTTAAAAAATCAAGTTTCTCAACAAACCGAAGTTTGTTTAATTTTGGTGGATTATAAATGACGCAAAAAGAACATTTATAATCGTTTATTGCTATATCAACCAGAAGGCTTCATTTTAAAGCGTGTCACGTTGACTGAATAAACAGCACGTATTTCCTAATTGGATCATCACACCACCACCGAGATCACTTATCACGTGATTGTTTATAACCGCTGACTAATCAACTTTCACCTAGATCATTTCCAGTAATCCAGGTTTCTGTAAGGCATAAAATATCAGGTGGAGACTCAAGGCTGAGAATACGTGCTTCCAATTGACCAAAATGAGGTTTCAAAGATCTTATTTTTATAAGCATGACGGACATTTTGACATTATGGGTAAGTGTTATTCCTTCTTTGGTCCAGGCATTCCATATTCGTGTGTCTCGCTTCATCATCCAGCGAAGCCAGCGCTGGGCTTTGATCTTCGAAGATCTTTAAGTTCTGAAAGTATGCTCGTCTTAGTAGTTCTCTTTTTCTTGATTAAATCCATTCTTAGAATTTTGCCATTCTCTTAGAAAACTTCACAATGATAGGTTTCACCATTCCATCTCTGGAAGGCAACCGATGAGCGATAGATATGTTATTTGGCTCTAGTGCAGCACTGATCGCACCAGACACTTCAATAACTTTCTTCAACGTAGTTTTTGAAGGTTCATTTCTGGTTCGTCCGTTTTCGCCGCGTCTTCTTTCAAGCCAATCATCTTAACATTATCTCTTCTATTGTAGGTTTCCAATTTTTCGGCTTTCCATCGTTCTTCTAGGTCACTCTTTCTTCCGCTGAACTCGATCTCCCAGGCACTTGGTCAAACACTTTATGATGCCTTCTACTGCCTTTGTGACTGCGTCAGCAATTAATACTCAAACAGTTTTTTATTTGTTCAAAAGGTACATTTCTTCCATACCGGTGGACACCTCATGGAGGGCTTGGAAAGTGTTTAATAGTGGAGGCTAGGAGCCAGTGTTGAGTCGACAGGACACCGGTCACCAGGTGTAGGCTCAGAAGAGATGCTTCACATATGGTTCTATCCAAGGAGGTTCCGCGGTAGCCACTTTGTCTGCAGGCGTTTTGGCTTGGCATTCAGTACTCGAGTGTATGGACATTGATTCAGTATGAGGATTCTGTTTCCCCGTGCTCGGGTAGACCCTGGTTAAGGAAAGAGACCGCCGTTTCCAGCAACGAGACTAGCCCAGTGTTTACCTACTTGTTTGGGTTCTCATTTCCCATGAAACACTGAGCAGGAAAATGAGAGATGAAGTGGTGGTTGTTTGAGGTGAAAGTAATCAGCTACTCTAACGGGTTGGGAATACAATTCTTTTTTGAGATATTTGCACTTTCATTTGTCTCTGCTGGTTAAAATGAATTTGCATGAAATAATAGCCATGTGAGTGCTACCTGTGTCTGATGTTGTGTTTGTCTGAGTGATAGCAGGAGCTGCACAAGTCCACCGAGGTGTCTGCTGTCCTGCTGTTGCTGGTGGTGGTGGTGGTGCACTCGGCACAACTCCACCTTACCCCGAAGATGGGCGACACCCCACACGAGCCACAACTCACACCCTCGTGTTTGATGCCTGGAACAGAAACAACATACTAGTATAGCACACAGCTCAAAGGTAGTGGAAACAATCGCCATTCATCACCATCTATAACGTTACTCAACACACTTAGTGTTTATGCATAAGGTTAGGTCCACTCCATTATCATTTGTGATAACCTCATCTTTTATCAGTTGAAAACTTTGCGAAATCAAAATTGAAATCGCCTCAAATGTCTTAGATTGCCAGTCTGGCTACGCTGAACAGTTATTTAAAGAGAAACTACCATTTAGACTACCATTTGGAGACCTTCTGTTGCAAATGGTAGTTTACCATTAGGGTAGTAAAATAGTAGTTTACCATTTGCAACAGAATGAGCTGACCTGCTGGTGATGAGTCATATATGCGAAGATCGTACGCGCCCGCACATCTGTAGTTGGCAGCTGTGCCTGTGTCCCACACCACCACCACCTCCTCCGGCGACTCGAAGCTCCTCACAGTGCCCACGTGACCCTCTCCCCCGTCCTGCTTGCCCCACTTCCAGTCTGGCCCACGCACCACCCGACACCCAACACCTTCCATATTTGGTAGCAGAGAACAGCAGCAGCAGCCGAGTAATGAACGCTATTGATGCACGTCGTCTGCAGAGCACTCCTCAATCAAAACGAACATAACACTTGTCTGAAATCATTCAACTAACAAATGAATCTCCGCGGTGAACCGAACCGAATCAAGTTACACTTCTATCTACAGCGAATTGAATGAAACTTTCAATGGAGAACAATAAATTAAATGAATTAATCTACGGCAATAACATCACATAAATTTGATCGGAAATGACAACAGAGTTTTTTGAGCTAAAATTTAACAGAACATACATCTTCTCCCTGTTATTAATATTTTTACAATTGCACGTTCATATTATCTGAGATTCTCTTTGTAACAGCGCCAGTTGTCATCTTCAGAAGAATAGCAATAAGTCATCAATTGCAAATTGCTTCACTTGTTGGCTTCACTTTGAGGAGTAGCAACGTTTCCATTGCCGGCCTTAATGCCTCCTCCTCCTCCTCCTCCTGCGCCTAGAGTGTTTGCCCCAGAGGACCTACCGCGGACACTGTCTGCAGACCCCATCACCACTCGTCTCCAGTTACCCCCACATTGACACCTAACAGTCAAGCCCCAGTCTCAACAGCTCATCCTCTTCAATTTCATTTAGGCCAAAAGTAATATACACTAGTGTTAATTGTAAACAATTAAGGTCACCTTTCTCTCAACTTGACTTTTGACATTACAGCCAAGCGGACTCTCTCGTTTCTCTCAACTTTTCAAAAACAGCATGACTTACAAGAAAATGACAAACTTTCAGGTAAAACAATGTTTCAATTTATACGAAAACTCGGGATTAATATCAACTTTTCTGAATAACCCCCTTATTAACAGTTCCCCTTTTTCTAACGTTCGCCTTTTAGTATTCCCCGTACCATGTAATATAATATCCCTATTTATGATATTATATTTACCTTAGTTTTATCCCTGATTTACTATTGTATTATTTTTCATGTACTTACTCAACTGATGCCCAACTGCATGGAACTCCTTTGACTCAACCCTTAAAACTACCCTTACTAACAATTGGTGTACTACTCTCCTCAGGTAATTTACCCAATTTTTATATTGGCGCCCCGAAAAAGTTTTGATTAGCTCGTTACACTGTGTTTTTTATTCCCCCACAACCAAAAATTTATGGTTAGTTACTGTTTTTCCTCCCCAGTTTTTACGTCTGCGGTTTATTATATCTTGTTATAATACTTCCCCATTACAATATTATTTCATTTATTTACAGTTAATCGCAGTTTATTTGATTTACATTTTTTAAAAAAAAAAAAAAGATCAATTATTGCTCTTGATTTCTAACCCATGTAAACTTTAAACGTTTCAATTGTTCATAGCTTCATTTACTTTGAATAATGTATTAAGTTATTTTCATCAATTTTCCCCTTTCAATTCGTTTTTTGTTGCTTTGCTATTCCGAGTCTTTTGTGACTCATTTATGAAAAAACTTCAGTTTTCCCGACTCATTTTTCATTCCGTTCAGAGTCTTTATTGCCTTTTGCGTTCCTTTCCGAGTCTTTTCTGACTCAATGTTTCATTCCTTTCCGAGTCTTTCTCGACCCATTTGTTGTTCGTTTCCGAGTCTTTCCCTACTCATTCATTCATTCCTTCCGAGTCTTATCTGACGCCTTGTATATTCCTTCCGAGCCTTTCTTGGCCCTTTGCTTCCTTCATTGCTTCCTTCCTTCAAGTGTTTTCTGACACTTTTGCTTTCTTATTGCCCGACTCCTTGGTTACCTGATTCGAGTTCTTTTTGGACTCTCAATTTTCGTCATTGTTCTTCGACATGACATTTGTTTGAGCTTTATCTGAGCTCACTTATTCCGCTTGCTTCGAGCCTCACTGGGTTCGTGGCTACATTCGAGCTTCGTCTTAGCTCACCTTATTTTCTGCTTTGAGCCTCTCGGTTCTTGGCTACTTCCTGTCGAGCTTTACCTGAGCTCATTTCCTCTGCTGCTTCGAGCCTCACTGGGTTCGTGGCTACATTCGAGCTTCGTCTTAGCTCACCTTATTTTCTGCTTTGAGCCTCTCGGTTCTTGGCTGCTTCCTGTCGAGCTTTACCTGAGCTCATTTCCTCTGCTGCTTCGAGCCTCACTGGGTTCGTGGCTACATTCGAGCTTCGTCTTAGCTCACCTTATTTTCTGCTTTGAGCCTCTCGGTTCTTGGCTGCTTCCTGTCGAGCTTTACCTGAGCTCATTCCTCTGCTGCTTCGAGCCTCACTGGGTTCGTGGCTACATTCGAGCTTCGTCTTAGCTCACCTTATTTTCTGCTTTGAGCCTCTCGGTTCTTGGCTGCTTCCTGTCGAGCTTTACCTGAGCTCATTTCCTCTGCTGCTTCGAGCCTCACTGGGTTCGTGGCTACATTCGAGCTTCGTTTAGCTCATCAACTGCTTCGAACAACTCTAGTTCGTCTCATTCGCTACGCTACAGCGATAAAGGCAAGTTGTCCTCTGGGAGGTCAACTGGTATAAGTGCAAATTTTATTGCACAGGGATAAATCTACGGTATTAGGACAGGTAGGTAAACAGGTACATCAACTTTAGTTGTCCTCTGGGAGGTCAGCAATCACAATTCGGTCGTCTGCTAAATAGCGACAGGTAGGTAGGTAAATACGTCATCCTCAGTTGTCCTCTGGGAGGTCAACACTCATTGGTGCTAATCTTTGCACCCGGTTTTTTTTGCCGTTTATACTGGTAATTGGTAGGTAGGTAGGGTCGGTAGGCTGGTAGGACCAGGTAGGTTCTTGGACTAGCTTTAAAATCGCAGTTAATTGTTAATACCGAGGACACTTCGAACGACCGCTCAATTTTCCCTCGGAGGTAGGTACAAGTGGTAAGGTACAGTGGTAATTGGTTAAACTTTATCCATTATTTCGCTCCTTCTTACGAGCATCGGTGGTATTCGGTATAAGTTGGTAGGTTGGTAAAGGTAAATTCATATACTGGTATAAGTTGGTAGGTATTGGTTTACGTCTCCTGGTTCAAGGTATGGCCCCATCCGGTAGAAATAAAACGACGCAAAACAATGACAGCGATCCTTCGGAACAAAATGGTACCCAAACGCAAGATACCAATCAAAACGTTCAAGAGACTGGCGTTCGAAAACTGGTTTCGCTTCGACGTCATCACGAAATGGAGATCAATACTTTGATCGACATGCTCGAAAACAACATCTACGAGGAAGAAGATGATCTTGAACTCATCAATGAAACGTTCACTGAATTGTCTCAATTCCAACAAAAACTTGATACCCTGAACGATCAAATGTTACAGGCTGGTTCTGAACACGATTTTGATGAACATTCTCACTGGACAGTACAGTTGAAACAGAAAATCCGAGTATTTTCAATGAAAGTGAAAAAATATTTGAAAAAACAAGTATCAAATCCTGCTACTTCTACAATTCCAAATAACAGCGCTCAAGAAAATGCTACTTCAATTTTCCCACAGGAAACCGCAACCTCCATGCCGACTGCAAACATAATGGATATACCAAACAACAACCTTATAACCATGAGCAACAATACTCAAGGCAATGCAAGAACAGCTGCCGCTGACGACAACCTTTCGGCGCCATTTCAAGGCGACCATTCATTTTCAAATCCATTTGCTAGTGATGTTCCTAACCACAGCTCACAACAAGCTAGTGCTGCAAACCCTCCTAACAACAACAATCGAGCTTTGGCAACTAATTCAAGCGACACTTCTGCTACATTCAGTCGATCAGTGCCAAAACTGAAGCCTACAATTTTCAATGGCAATCCCAACTATTGGTTGCACTAGTATGGTGTATTCGTATCATCGATTCATAATTCTAATATGTCTCCAACTGAAAAGATGATCCATCTTCAATCATTGGTAACTGGCCCAGCTAAACTAATGATAGCTGGTTATGGTGCAAACGGCGACACATACGAACTAGCACTACAACGTCTTCGTGAAAACTTTGGCAATACCAATAGAATTGTCAACTCTTTTTTGCAACGTCTTGCAAATTTCAAACCTCCAAATCTGGCTCAACCAGAATCATACATGCAGTTTTCTGCTTTTCTCCTAACTTTAGTGGACACTTTTGAGCAACTTGGTTTTGTTCACGATATTTGTTCTACAACAAACTTGAACACTGCTCTGGCAAAGCTTCCCGACCCTGTGAGATTAGAATGGAATCGCTTCGTCATCGACAAAGACTACGATCAACCCTCCTTGAGACATCTAGCACAATGGTTTCAACGGTACGCACAGGCGTGTCGCGACATGCCTCCGACAGGTTTCCGAAACCAAAACAATAACAATTTTAACAATTCTTCTGGAAACGCTAAACACCCTAGTGGTTCCCGTTTCAATGGTTTTACTACAAATGGTGTAGGAAATCAAAATCAGCGCTTTAACCATCAGGGAGATCAACAAAACTCTCGTGCTCAGAATAATGTAAACTCGAATGCTTGTCCTAGTGGAGACACCTGTGGACCTCTCTACAAATGCGAGCACTTCAAAGCTTTAGACCCTAAGCAACGAAAAGAGCATGCCCGAAAAATGCACTTATGCTTTAACTGTCTAGGGAATCATAGGTTTACTGACTGCAATTCGAAATCGCTCTGTCGAACCGATAATTGTGGTAAAAAACACCACACTCTACTCCACGATCCTTCTGATACTTATGGAAAAAACCCTAGTAAAGCTGCAGTGAATCGCGCAATAGCTTGTCAGAGATCAGGTCAATCAGCTTTTGTACCAATCGAATTATCAAATGGTGATAAAACACTTTGTACCTACGCTTTCTTAGATAGTGGTAGCTGCGTAACTCTACTACTGGACTCAGTGGCAACTCAACTAGGCTTGGACGTCAACAAGAAGCACTCACTTCCCATATCTGGATATCATGAGACCAAGTCAGTTCAAGTTACATCTGTGGATGTACAAATTAGACCATACAAAAGCACATCGACTCCAATGACGCTCGATGACGTACTCACGGTAGATGAAAATAATTTGGCCCCAGTTGATATTTTTCAACTAAACGCAATGTGCAACAATTTTCCACATTTAAAGCATGTTAAATACCCGGACTTAAACGACAATAGCATATCGCTAGTCATCGGAAACAACAATCCAGAATATCATGAGATCAAAAATACCGTTGATGGCCCCAAGAATGTTCCCTGGGCTATCGAAACCCTTTTGGGATGGACATGCACAGGTCGGAACAAAACGCAATATAATTCCGTTCCATCTGTTCCGGTGAACTTCACACAAGTTCATTCACACAATAACTTAGATGAAAAATTATACCAGAAAGTTCTCAACTGGATGAAAATAGAAAACACAGGCATCGCTTCTTCAAAACGCTCGCACTCCAAATCGGATAAAAGAGCAATCGATATTCTCGAAAACTCTTGTACTTTAGTAGATGGTCACTATCAAATTGACCTTCTTTGGAAAGAGGATACTGATCTTCCAAATAACCGTTGGCTAGCTGAAAAGCAACTCAACAGCCTCGAATTTCGCCTTAAAAGTAAACCTGATTTAAGGGAGAAATACCGCGCAACAGTCATCACTGACTTAGAAAAAGGCTTTGTCACCAAAATAGATGCAAAACATGACACTGCAATCAAATCTTGGTATTTGCCGCATCATCCAGTGACAAATGTCAACAAACCAGACAAAGTTAGACGAGTCTCAAATGCTTCCAGCATTTTTCAGGGTAAATCCCTCAACTCGAGTTTGCTCAAAGGGCCCGATCTTTTGTGCAACTTAACAGGTCTCATAATTCGCTTTCGACAAAATAAAATAGCAATATCTGCTGACATAGATGCTATGTTTATGCAAGTGCTAGTCAGCCCAAAGGATAGACCTTTTCTAAGATACCTTTGGAAAGAAAATGGTAAATTAGAAACTCACGAATATACACGACACATTTTCGGTGCCACAGACTCACCATGCGTGGCTTGCTACGCAGTACGACGATGTGCATCAGACAGTAAAAACGACTTTCCTCTGGCTTCTGAAATCATTCAACGGAATATCTACATGGATGATTTGTATGTCACTTCGTCAACGGTAGAAGAAGCCCTCCAACAAATGACACAACTACGAGGATCTTTATCTCGAGGTGGGTTCAACTTGAATAAGTGGAACTCAAACAGTAAACCATTCCTGGATTCAATTGATCCAAATATTTTAGTCAGCCCTAATGATCCAACGCCTAAACATCAACGAGTTCTCGGTGTTCACTGGAATACCAACACTGACTGCTACTTCATCGATAACAAAAAGTTTGTAAAAATTCTACGTATTGGCATTGCTACGCAACGGAAACTCCTGAAGTATACCGCTTCTTTATTTGACCCACTCGGAATAGTGGCTCCATTGACAATTCGGATTCGAAAAGTTCTCCAATCTGTTTGGTCACAAGGTGTTAAGTGGGATACTCCATTAGACACGGATAAACTTCCCGATTTCAAACTTTGGGTAGACGAAATGGAAAATTTCGAAACTGTTTCATTCCAAAGGAACTTCTTTGATAAAGAAAACCCTGCTTCAATCCAGCTTCACACGTTTTGTGATGCATCAGAATTCGCTCTCGCTGCTGTTTGCTACCTAAGAATAGTCTACAGCGACGGCTCCACATCTTTGAAGTTTATAATAGGAAAGACAAGAGTCGCTCCTATGAAACGTGTTACAATTCCCAATCTCGAGTTGCAAGCTGCAGTATATGCTGCCCAACTATCGCTCTTTGTTTCAGAGGAAATTGACCTCAAAGTTGAAAAAACTTATTTCTGGTCTGACAGTACTACTGTTTTGTATTGGCTGCGAACACCTGAAATACGACACAAAATTTTCGTCGCTAATCGGCTTCAGAAAATTTTAGACGTTTCTAAACCTGAACAGTGGTTTCACGTTCCAACTCTGCTAAATCCTGCTGACGACGGTACCAGAGGATACATGGCTTTAGAAATGACCTCAAGCTGTCGGTGGCTACTAGGACCAGAATTTCTGTTGAACGATTCTTCTCAATGGCCTTCACAGGAAAACATTCGGCTTGAGAACATTCCTGTATTCGTTACTTCATTAGAGGCTAAATTTGAGCCTATATTTGACATCAAACGCTTCAGCAACTGGAAAAGACTAATACGGACAGTTGCATACTGCTTCTTATTCGCAGAAAATCTCAAACGGAAGATCAACAAACAGTCGAAGGTCGATCTTCAACTCTTGCATCTAACGAAATCGCACTTTCTCATAATTAAAACTGCCCAAAGGACAGATTTTGTCTCTGAAATTTCAGACATCAAAAAAGAAAAACCAATTGAAGGCAAAAGTAGACTTCGAACATTAGCACCGTTTGTGGACAACTTCGGTATCCTGCGTTCTCGTGGACGTCTCACGCGTGCCCCTATCATGCTATCAGCTAGATATCCAATCATTCTCGCTGGTGAAAACCCCAATGTTCGCCTGCTGTTAGCTAACATCCATGTTCTACATTCCCACTGCTGAAAGGAACAAGCAATGGCCATAGCACAGGAAAACTACTGGATTCTTCGCTGCCGCGTCATGCTGAAAAGTATCATACACAGTTGTATACCCTGCAGAAGAATGCAACAACAAGTCGACTACCCTCAGATGTCAGATCTTCCAATTGATCGACTGCCATCAAAAAATCATTTTCCTTTTGCAACGACTGGATTGGACTACGTTGGACCTTTTCCCATCATCCTTCAAGGAAAACAATACCAAGCGTATATTTTACTGTTCACATGCTTAGTGATCAGAGCTGTGCATCTTGAAATCTCATTAGGACTATCGACAGACAGCACTCTTCTTTGTATCAGACGCTTTTTTGCCCGGCGAGGAAAACCATCGAAAATGGTTTCTGATTGTGGGACAAGTTTTGTGGGCTCCAATTCTGAGCTGAAGAAATGTCTAGACAACTTGGAAAAGAACAAAGAATTTGTGGAAAGCATCAATCAGCTGGACGTATCACTCGAATGGAAATTCAACCCTCCTGCGGCCCCTCATTTTGGTGGTTCTTGGGAACGACTAGTTCAGATATTTAAACTTTCCCTGTACAAAGTCATCGGATCAAGAACACTCTCCTATGAAACACTGGCTACTTTCACGACCGAAATTGAATCAACCATGAATTCACGACCTTTAACCAATGTGTCTGACGACATCAAAGATGATCTGCCTCTCACTCCCAACCATTTCCTTCTTGGTCGTGGAACTCCAAATTTACCGCCTGGTATCTTCAAGGACAAGGATTTATCTCTGTCAAAATCATGGAAAGCATCCCAACTACTCGCAGATCACTTCTGGAATCACTTTCTTCGAGAGTACTTACCAGGTCAGCAGAAACGATCAAAGTGGACTTCTGCGACTTCCAATTTGCAACCCGACGACATGGTCTGGATGTTGGAGGATTTTACACCTCGTGGACTGTGGCCTCTTGCTAAAGTGGTGGAAACCTTTCCTGGACAAGATGGAATAGTCCGCTCAGTGAAGCTGAAAACGCCAACTGGATTCAAAGTTCGACCTGTGGTCAAATTGAGCCGCGTTTTCCCAGTTTCGCAGTAACCAAGCTCCAAATAGCTAACCAACCAAATAATCACGCAACTCAGCCTTCAACATATCAACTCGACAAAGATGAACAAATCTACGACTCGTCAATTCAACTAAGACAATCAGCTCAACGATAGACAAACCAAGATGAAGATGAAAAAGAACAATTTCTGGTTCCCTTATCTACTGGTTCCCTTATCTTTGTATTTTACCGTATCCTTACTATTTTATTCAATACTTTATTTGCAAGCTCTGCAAATGTGGGCGGGTGTTAATTGTAAACAATTAAGGTCACCTTTCTCTCAACTTGACTTTTGACATTACAGCCAAGCGGACTCTCTCGTTTCTCTCAACTTTTCAAAAACAGCATGACTTACAAGAAAATGACAAACTTTCAGGTAAAACAATGTTTCAATTTATACGAAAACTCGGGATTAATATCAACTTTTCTGAATAACCCCCTTATTAACAGTTCCCCTTTTTCTAACGTTCGCCTTTTAGTATTCCCCGTACCATGTAATATAATATCCCTATTTATGATATTATATTTACCTTAGTTTTATCCCTGATTTACTATTGTATTATTTTTCATGTACTTACTCAACTGATGCCCAACTGCATGGAACTCCTTTGACTCAACCCTTAAAACTACCCTTACTAACAATTGGTGTACTACTCTCCTCAGGTAATTTACCCAATTTTTATAACTAGCCTTATGCTTGTCATTTCACACTTCTACAAAATACTGTTTTTTTTTAAAAAGCGAGCGATATTGAGATACATTGAACACGTGGGAGGAACTTTTGATCAACACGCGGTAAGACGAGATATTCTACTAGTTGATTAGCAATTCACAGACTGACCTTTCACTCCAGATGGCTTCCCAAAGCGGCCATCTGAACTGCTTCTTCGCTCTCAGCCCCTGTCGTTTGCCACACCTGGAACACTGCTTGAGATCAGTGATTGGTCGAACACCCAACCTCAAGAACCTGACTTCATCTACTATCGAATTGGGCGGATTGGGAAAGTGTCGAACGGGCTCGTTTATATCGTCGCATGTGAATACTAACTGCTTACTGTTTCTACCATATAAGGCAAAAACTCCAGACGCACAATTGGATGACTCGAAGTTGACATGTCGGAACAGTCTGAGCAAGTTGGCCACTTTCTTCATCACCTCCGTCCACTCTTCATTGACATGTGCATGTGTTTCTTTTCTCTTTCTTTCCTTCTCAGCTGTGACCAAAGCTTCACAGCTTAAAGCGAAGAACCTTTTCAGGTCAATTGACTGCACGTATTTCTCAAACACCGGCTGATGCTTCACTCGAATGCCAGATTGGCTAATCCACAGGGTCTGCAGCAACAGCAACTTCTTCACAAGTGTCAAAACTTTCTCTAGATTCAATAAATAAGCGTGTTTGCCATCGCAAATCAATTTGAAAACCAACAGTACTGAATCATACACAGCTTGTATTATAGGCAGCATCAACATAAACTCTGATTCTTTCAGCAGAAACGCTTCCAACTCTGAGGCGATGATGGCGTCGTTTAAATCTGGTTCCGGTTGTGCCATGTAATGTTTAAGCTTCTGCCACTCTTTCGTCTCTACTGACTTGAAGATGAGATTGTAAAACGCGTGAATTCTGAGCAGCTTCAGCTCCATGTTCAGTCCGAAGGAGATGACAGACAGTCCCATTGTTTCGTTCGCCGCCCTCGTTGACAACACGGCACACATCGACAACAGCTTTTCGTATTTCTTTCCCTCATTCCACTTTCTAAATTTTAATTCAATTTCAAAACAAGCCTTCATCTTATTCAGGACAACAAAAAGCATTTGATTCATAATTAGACAACTTAGCAAGCTGTAGCACAGCTTTTAGACCACCAAAATATCGATATCAATAGTCGTGGATTCTTTGGCTGCATTTGTAATGCCATAGCGCTTAGCTTACTTGATAAGAAGACTGCTCACAAACTCTTTCACAATTTCAGTTGAGTGGTACCATTTGGACTTCAAGGTCAGCATCAGATCCCAAGTGTCTTTTCCAGTACAGAGAGCAGACCTTATGAGGGCGGCAGCAGTGTCTTCTACACTGGCTCTGCCGCCTACCATCTCTGCTCCTTCTCCTCTCTTCCCTTTCATGGCTAGAAGAGACTGGGGCAGAATAGAAATGTCCACAGACAGACTTCCTAAACACACACAACCACACATTATACATCATTGAACAGGGCATACGCTGTAAGTTGACCATCATCAACTGACAATTTTGCACACCATTATCAGCTGTTTCATGAATACACTTGCCGCCTTCTCATTATTAATGAAAACAACATTAGCCCGCGGTCGCTGTGCAGAGACCTCACTTGATAATTCGAGCAGCTACTTCAAATTTTCATTGTTCTTCTCTTCAAATTTTCATTGAGCTTCTCTTCAAATTGTGCTTCTCTTCAAAATGCTTCTCTTCAAATTTTCATTGTGTCATGCGAAAAAAAAACATTTCAAACCGAAGACAAAAGAGACTTCCAGCGAGTCGATCTCTTCAATTCTTCACTCAATCTGTCTTCAAATAAAAATTGATCCATATATATATATTGCTGCAAGGGATCGCAAAAACGTGCAAAAATCATCTGTGTAAGCTTTTGGTCGTGTTAATAGGTAACGAACCAAAATTGCAAACACTTGCTTTTCCTTTTTAGCTTTCTTCTTAAATTGAAAGCTGGCGCACCCGACAAAGCAAAGTTTTTTTTTCGACAAACGCAGATCTTGCGTATATGCCCCAACATAATGCAATACAAAGTTGACTTTGAAAAAAAATTGGACCACAAGTTTATTTTTTTCCGGCTTCCGGGAAATCTGAAAATGATAATCATTTTTCGAAGCTAGAAATCGAACACGTTATTCGTTACCTTTACACTTTCGTTGTTCGATAGTGGAGTTTGCCTTCCTTTTAACATGACTTAAAAAGAAACCAAAGTCAAACCGCGAAAAATTAAATTTGAGCCTGAACAAATTTTAACTTTTCCTGAAAAACAACAATCACAATCATCACAACCTATATAGTCTTCACTACGTTCATCGTCTCTTTAAACATCCAAAAACCCTTCTTACGAAACTGGTGATGGCACAGGAGTAGAGCAGACAAGAGCGGGGCCTACCTGGGTTGAATGCAGCTACTGCCAGTGCTAAGGGGGACAAACAGGCAAATCTGGCATCCACTTTCTTCATCCGCTTCGACTCTTTTCCTCTCCCATCATTATTGTTATCACAGTCAATTGCACTCAAATCAACGCTATCAAAAACATGCATTCCTTTTGCCGAGTCAAACAAAATTATGTGTTTTTCGTTGGCTGCGTGTAAGTACGGATCATAAAAGTGTCTCGGGCTCAGAAGTATTCCCGAAGGTGATACAAGTTGTGAATATTTTCCCAATTTATATTCATAATTAGATGAATCTATTAATGGCTCTTCAATTGCAGAAACTACGTCACTATCTAATAAAGATTTTTCGTCAACTAAACTTTCGTTTGCTTCAAGTTGAGGTTCGATTTTTACTTTGTTATCCTCAAATGAATCGGTATTTTCGTTTTCCACAAGGACAGAAACTTTTATGGCCTCTGTTTTAACTTCAGTAGCCACGTAATCGAAATTGACAAGTCGCCGTCTTTTAAGCACACCTGGACACTTGCTTATTTCGCTCCTCTGCAATTCAATTTCAGTTTTAACTTTGCTATCTGGTAACTCAGTTTCTTCGTCGCTCGTTTCATCCGCAAACTCTTTGTCACTTGTTGACCGTTTTCGTTTTCTGCCCGATTTGATAAACTTGTCGTTTGATTCAACTAAGCACGTTGTCTGTTTCAGAGACGACTGGACCACTTGCTCTACCCTGATATTGAAACTGGATAAATCGTAGCTTCTCAAAATTTGAACTTCAATGTGCAAGCGTTCGCCTAAAAATTTAAAACGAAGCCAATCAAACAACACGCCTCAAGGTTCAAAACAAAAAATTGAGGTACAGGGACTAAAATGCCAGTTTCGGACACCTTACGCAGGTCTTTACTAAGATGTGTTGCGAACTGATTTCCAATATTAATTGGACCTGTTAAAAATAATTTATGAAGCCCCATGAGTTAGAAATTACGTAGTAATTTAGTTGCTGTTTTAATTTATCCAGACACCACGAAAAAAAACCTGAAGTTTTTTTTCCAATTGGGTAGACTTCGGGCAAAAACGAACACAACCGTTGCTTGGAGATTCACTCAAAGTCAAACGGTAATTTCGAGAAAAAAACCCACGCATATTACCAAATCAATGTGGTCTAAAACAAGTTATTCAACTGGAGGCTTCCTTCATTTGAGTTCGCCTTTAGCTTTTGATGCGTGATACAAGATGATAATGACAAATACTCTGTCATATGCAACAAAAAAGAACTTCGGTGACTTTAGAGATGATGTTTTTTTATTTACAGTTATTTACAAATCAGTTTTGAGAATTTTTATGATTCAATAAAATTCTGAAATATAACATTTTCTACAAGGCGTTAAAACTGCTTTAATTTAGAAATCATGTCGCCTCTTAATCAAGGACGGCTCTCTTACAAGAAAACACGCAAATAAATTTGCAAATTCGAGATGAGACTTTCACCAAAACTGAAGCTTTCTCGACTTGTTTGAACTTACATTGCGCAAAAACTACCGAGTCAACTACAAAACATTTTACACCAGAATGAGCGTCTAACATTCCCCCTAAAATCTGAGAACATAGCCAGCAAACAGTTAGAAAAAAAGACAGTTATACAACAATTAAGGCAGTCAGACAACAAAACAAGTTAACACAAATTTCAGACAGAAGACAGTTTAAACTCTGTTCATATCATAAACTTTGATGAGTTGCTCAGAAAATCACGCAATAATTCTGCGCAATTTCAATTCAAACAAATCGAGTTGAAAGTGATATGGTTACGCTTCTGAGACTCGCAGAGGAGTCGGGTCCCAGTTGAACACAGTTAGAAAAAGTCAATGACAATAACGAAACAGAAAAATGTACATCAATTTTCGAAATTCAGAGAATAAATAATGTGGCCTTAAAGATCTTTGAAGTTTAAGAACAATTTATGATTGGCTTTTTTTCGAAAAAGTTAACTTAATTTGAGTCAATATGTATTTTTTTAAAGGCGCTGGAAAATATACAGGAAGTCCAAACTCAAATCGCGGAAAATCAATGAAAAAAAAATTATCTCGACCATTGAGTTTTAACTACGTTCATTGACTCTTAAACAGCAATTTCTTCAAAACTTTCTAAATTGAAATTAAACCTAAGTTGTTTCGAATTAAATCAGAAAAAAGCCAAGAAACAAAAATTTTCGAAATTCAAAATCGTTTATCATTTACAATTCTAAATCAACTAAAAGGAGAACAATACACCAATAGGTATACTATCTTCTACTGGAGCTACAAAATTAAAACACTTTTCGAGAACGCAAGTCAAGCGCCTTTTTTGGCGCCATTGTCATTTATGTTATTGAGTAATGCAGTATATATGACCTCCCATTTGCCGAATGAATTCGATGTAACCATGGAAAAAATCAAAAGTCAAACCACCAAACAAAATTAGGTTTCTTTTTCTGAAAAAAAAACCTGATGATTTAAAGGACAAAAAAATCAAGGCGCTCATTTACTTTTAAACAGGCCTATTAAGGCAGTCTGACAACAAAACAAGTTAACACAAATTTCAGACAGAAGACTGTTTAAACTTTGTTCATATCATAAACTTTGATATGAATTGCTCAGAAAATCACGCAATAATTCTGCGCAATTTCAATTCAAACAAATCGAGTTGAAAGTGATATGGTTACGCTTCTGAGACTCGCAGAGGAGTCGGGTCCCAGTTGAACACAGCCAACCATAACCGATTGGGATTCGAACTCAAGACCCTCGTGTTGAGAGACGAGTGCCTCACCCCACTCGGCCACGGCAGCTTAAAATTACCCTCGTGTTGGACGAACGACACTGGTGTTAGACGCTTACCATTTTCGCTGAAGTTAGTGTCTAGCAGCTGAAATTCATATTTGGCCATCCTTAATTCTTTTCTGGACGTGACATAGCTCACGTATCTTCCTTCATCATCCCAATGAAACTTGGCATCTTTGATCACAAAATTCTCCGACTCAATTTGAGACTCTTTATTGGGTGCTTGGAACCAGGAGTCTGTCTTCACAGGAGCAACTGTTGAATCCCCAGTTGTTAGAATATTGCAATCTTCCTGCACGAAATCTCCACTTGCGTTCAGAACTACAGCTAGTAGGCGGCCGTTTGAAGTAACAATACATAAACAAAGGTTGTAACAAGATTCATGCAGGTCCGAAAAATCGTTATCCGAGGTTTGCTTAAACAAGCTGAGCTTCTTGGTTGCTTTCAAATCCCTTGAAGCTGAAGCTGCAACAAATTCTTGCTCCATTTTCACATCCGCTGTAGTCTCGTCATCCTCTTTTGTTTCATGACCTGTTTTGCAAAAACAAACGCCAAATTTCAAGAACAGTTAAGGGAAGTAATTATATTTAGATTCGCAATGATAGTTTAAGTGATCGAATCAACGCATAGCTTCATAATTGCCTTATCAAACAATTTCTTGCAAACTATTTAAAAACGCACTAAGATGTAGAAACCAAAAAATCAAACACAACCAGTGAAAACTTATAAAACAAAAAAATCCATTTCAAAACATTCGACCGGAAGTTTTAAGAGTCGATGAACGTAGTGGAGAGAAACTCTTATATAAGTCTTGATGATTTTTTTCAGGAAAAGTCTTTAAACGCTCTAGTAACTAAAGAAGTGCATTAAAATATTTAAATGAATATATGAAACCACTAAGGTAGAGGTGCACTTTTGAATTCAATCTAATTTCTTTCGCTAAAAGACAAAACGCGTTTTTCAAATACAAAACCAAAAATGGCGTGAAAAGATTTATAGTACAGAAGGTCAAATTTATTTTTAGGATTTCCCAGTGAAATTAAAAATTAAGTCACTGATCCTGCTTTTTTTAAATTTGGTTAATTTTTATCAAAAACATGTCAATCATGAATTTTTGGTGAAATTCAAAGAACTTAAGGGCCATATATTTTTTTTCTTTGAAATTCGAAAGTCGCATCTTTTTTCTGTTTCCTTGACTCTTTTCAACCTATCTGTTGGCTATCTTACAATTGAACAATAAATAGCCCTGATTTGAACAAAATTTTGAAGAAAAAAAACATACGACCCTAAAATTTCATTTAAACTTTTTTGAAAAGGTTGAAACTAACAAAAAATCAACGCAGAATAATATACTTGTAATATAAGTACGTAATCCGATAAAAATGAACAAAAGAAAATCACATAGAAGATAAGTCAGCGACTTTAGCCGGAACCATCGAATAAAAAAATCGAAACAACAAATGAAAGCAACCACCAAATAGTTTTAGCAACCACCAATAGCCGAATAATCAAAAACAGAGCCCAAAAAATCAGATAGTATTTACGAGATAAAAAGATATTTATCAGAAAAATAATAGCAAACCGCCCAAAATAGAAGACAAAAACCGTGAGGGTAAAACCCGTGAGAGTGTACTATTCTAGCGGAGGTTTCCACAACTTGTGCTTACAATCCCAAAATTTCAGATTTAGACGAGTACTTTTCGAAGAAAGTCAAAAAATGAAAAACGGTCGAAAAAATCAAAGGTATGACTATTCCGAGGGTCATACCTTTTGGCGTGGAAAATTGTGGGCGCAGCCGCTTATGCAAGGGAGCTTCCCACAACTCGTTATTTAGAATGAGCCCAAAATCTTAGATTTGAGAGGGCGGTTTCTGAGAAAAGTTTAAGTTCCAAAAAACTGTAAAATTCAAATATTCTGAGGGCCTTAATTTTTGTTTAAAAAAATTTGGACTGTCCCGCTTATGCCTAGGAGCTTCTTACAACCCGTTCTATTCATTTAACCCAAAATCTCATTTAACCAAAGATTTGTGAGGGCATTTTTCGAGAAAATGAAAAAAAAAATCCAAAAAATAGACGTTTTCTGAAGGCTGTACAAATGACGTAAGGTAGAAAGTGACGAAGAATTAGCTAACACATGAAAGAGTTAGTTGAGTTGACTAACTGTGACTTTGACCAGGAGTGAAGAAGACGTGCTGGAATTCACAATTAACCCAGCACACAGCCACAGGCATCAAACTGTGTCTGCCTCCTCCTCTCCTTGTTCTCTGGGGGGACAGTCTGGCCTGCAGGCCCCAGTCAACTGACAGGAAGAGTTGGAAGTCGTTGGTGAAAGTGGAGCTGAGATTGGTCCAGATGTGTAGCGTGCAGTCATTCTGAACGGCCGCCAGCAACTAGTGTGTGGAGATGTTCATCAATTACAACACAACACAACAGGGTTGTCTTGTCTCAACTACTTTACTTTGACTCCTCAACAATCATATCATGCAGAAAATACATTGTAAAATATCTCGATCAAATAATTGAATAAAAATGAGGCTTTTAGTTTTTTCATCAGCGGCGGTATTTGAAAACGTTCAAGTCGTCGTTTCTAAAAGCGTCAATTCTAGAACATTAACTTTCAGTCTTACGTCCCTGCCAAAAAGTGTTCTCCAATACGCTATCATGTAATAATAATTAGAAATTATACCATTTTGCGTTTAATTTTAACATGCCTGATTGTATGTATATTTCAACAAACTTAACTTTAAATTGAACGAATCAACATCGAGTTTTTAATTTCAACATTCCTCAAGTTTTTGAATTATCAACTACGAGTTTTTGTTCGAAGAAAACGGAATATTTATGCTCGGTGTAGTTTTTTTTATTCAGTCAATTTTCACCGATCGAAATAATGATTTTCAACAAAAAATTTTTATTCCCCATTGAAGATATCGACTTCCTGAGTTCAAATGTAAAAAGATATTTCAACTCTCGACGATTTTTTTTGTAAGGTTCTGGGGGGCTTGAAAATTGCCAAATTTTCCATGTTCTGGACTAAATTATGCGCGCTTTGAAGAGTTTACTCATAATTCTGAGAGTGTAACGCGAATTATTTATGCTTGGCGAATTATCCCGCACAACAAAATCGTTCCATAATGAATTGACGCTAGCTAAATGGTCGTATTAATTTCGTACGACTCAAAATTTTACACTTAGATATTGACCAAAATGTTAAAGTTTTCAATATTTTTTTTCCACAAAAACTATTGGATATGAATAAAGGGACAGTCGGAACATTCAGGGCTTTGCCCTGATATACGAGCAGTCTTGTTAATTCTAACATTCGTAACATCTCACTTCAATAAAAGCATTTCAATTTCAGCATACTGCATTTATTTTCAACGCGATGATAATAAGGAAAGAAGATATAATTGTGGGTCTAGGACAACAAGCCGGGATTTCAAACCGAAGGCACTTCACGCCAAAATTTAATCTTCATAAGCACCTCACAGCACTATTTTTTCATCTATAAAACCATTTGTTTATTTCCCAAGCTTTGTTTTTTTCATGTTTTATTTCCCAAGCTTGTATTAAATCTGAAAATTGATTCTGTATAAAATATGCATTTAACATATTTAACATAAATACTCCGTATTTTACCCCCCCCCCCCCCCCCCTAAATTGATTGGGGGGATTTATATGGTTGAACATCGAATTGTATTAAATTTCCAAAATTGTTAATTATCAATCGATGGAGCATGGCTGTGTGAAGGTTTGGAGTGGCGTTGAAAAAGAAAAACGATTCCTTGGCCTTACGTAGATTCAAAATGCACTCATTGAAAAGCTAATCAATGGTCCAGTATTGAAAAGTTATCGAAAGCGTTTTTGTTTAAATCGGATTAACCAATTGGTTATTGGTTCAATCAGTTTATAAAACCATTTTTTAACCAATTGTTTAACCCAATTGATAAATTGGACATCCATGATAATATGTGATTTTTCAAAAAATGTACTCAAGTTTAGTCCAAGATGAGCGTTATTCTTGACAAGTTACCCCTCAGAAATGGCATCCATAATTTTCATCAGCCGGATTTTGAAATGAATAAATTATAAACAAAAACGCCTTCGATAACTTTTCAACGTGTAACTTTCCTAAACATCAATTAGAGGCTTAAAGTTAATTAAAAAAGCCATAAATTGGTAAGGAAAGATCATTAAATAGAGAAATTCTTCAAGCCAGTCTTCAAATTAATCATATTTTTTTACAGATTTTATTTAATTTGACTCAGGGAATGAATGTTGATGCATTCTCAAGGATTGTTTGTGCTTGTTGAAATTCAAATGCAGCTGCTAAACGGGGACATTCAACAGTGCCAAAAATTAAAGATATTTAGAAATTTGGAAATCCATGATCGCATGTGAAATATCTTTTTCAAATTTGAGCAGGACAACAATACCTTTTGGCTGATATAAAAAATTCCGTCAGAAATGGCTAGTTAAAAATTCAAAACCTGTCTGGCGAAAAAAACCACCCGAGCACAAATATTCCGTCACATTCTTCGAAACTCGGAACAAAAAAATTGGAAAGTAGGTGCCGAATTTAAAATTCCGTAAAAAATGTGCGTTTGCAGAAAAAGCGAGGAAGTAGACTTGGCAACGCAAGTTAAGTTAAATCGAGAAATGCTGAAATTAAATGTAAAAAGTATAAATTTGTTGATGATTGAACTGTTGTTTTGTTGTAGTTAAGAGTGACAAGCCTGTTTGTGATGTGGATGCCAGCAGAGGTGAGTGTAGAACATGGGCACTGTCATCAACCAGCCACTGGAGGGCAGAAGAGAATGCAAGTTGTTCACGCTACTTCCACTACTATCGCCACTCTAAACAAAACAAGTGACATGATGGAACACAACGCCAAGCTGAACTTCGCATATTGTGGCAAAAACATCACCAACCAAATGTTGAAAAGTGCCAATGAACTCAAAGAGCGCAAAAAACCACCTCCAAGCTCAAGAACAGGTTTCTGAATAAATTTCAAGAACAATTTATGATAACCACTTTTCTGATTATACAAATCCATATAGAGGCAAGGATAGCCGGTTACTGTGCAAAAAGAACAGAATGATCCCGACCATATTCATTCAAAAACTACAAAAAAAAATCTTTTTTTTTCAAATTAGTGTAGTTTTTTTGCGTGATGTGATAAAATGATCTGATGCAAAACTATAATTTAGACATATTTGACAATAACAATCTAAGCAAATTAGACAAAAAGTTTGGTAGAAAAATGACTAGAAAAAAATCAAATAAAAATCATTGTTTTTTGTTCCCAAAATGGCTCTTAAAACTAATTTAACTTGCTTAAAATTAAGTTTTCTTTCAAGGCTTAAATTGAGCTCAAATAAGCTTTTGTAAGCCTGCTCGCTCGCTTGTATTCGCTCGAAATTGAAATAAAACATTTTAACCATTACAGAGAAGACTTTTTGAAGTTTTTTTAATGCCGTTCGAATCACGACTAAAAAGGCTTCAATTTGGTCTCGACTCATTCCGATCACTCGACTCATTCCGATAATTTTTTGTTGTACCTAATTTAGCGCGGAGAACAAAAAAAAACAAATGAAAACTGTGTGTTTTTCTGTGTGGTGCGATAAAAAATCTGAATGAAAAAATAGAAATGAGGCAAATGCGACAGTCAAAGTTAAAAAGGCCAATTGGAAAAGATTTTTTTTTTTGTAGAAAAATGGCTAAAATAACAAACATTTTAAATAATTTGAAAAAATTTTCAAACATTTTTTGCAGACATTTTTTGAAGTTCGATATCTAACTTTACTCGAGATTGTTTAAACTAAGTTTAAACAATCTATTGTAAGCCTGTACGCTCATCTCATTAGCTCAAAATTAGACCAAACTTTTTTGAAATTTTCAATGAGGTTCGAATCACGACTCCAAAACTGCATATATGTTTCTACACTGTTAAAGCATTTAAGTTGGACTGGAATTCGGAAATCAACGGATCGTTAAGTAAAGCCAAGCTGCATGAAGCAGTGATGGAACTAAAGCCGAGAAATAAGGGAAAAGAATCAATGATACTGATGCTGAAGCACCAAGGTCCAAGGCACAAGACTACTCCTATAGTAAGTCGACAGAAGCTGGTGTGAAGGCCAGGTGCCGACAAACTGGAGTACGGCAACGATATCACCGCTCTTAAAAAACGGCAAACTTGATAAAATCGTATAGACCAAGTATCTCTCCTCCATGCATCGGAAAAACGATGGAGAACATGGTTCTTGTACGCCTCGGCGAATGAGCGAGATAACTCTGTCTAAGACCACTTAAACAGGCAGGTTATCAGGTTCATCCCTCATCAAATGATGTCATTGCTAACATTACCCAGACAGCAGGGGATCATCTTCAGAACAAGAAACTAACTATTATTGTAGCGATCGACTTCTAAGCTGCGTTTGAGAAAGTGTGGAGGCTAGGCCTTGTGAAAGACCTTGTAGACGGATGATTAAGGAGCGTTGCGCTCAAATGGTCGAAGGCTTGCTCTGGTCACATGCAATGAACAGTCCAGCTGCACCCTTGTCTTCTCCCAAGGCGCACAACAGGGTAGCACCCTTTCGCCTCTATTACACTGTTTCGCAACATCAAACCTCCGAAAATTATAAAAAGAAATGTCCCTTCTGGAACCGTCAACTAGTTCGCAGATGATCTCTAAATACAAATGACCAATGCAAACAACTGAAGAATCGGTAAATCTGATCTAACCTATATAAAGCTCAAGAGAGGTTTAGGCTAAGGTGAACTATTTTGAACTGTCAATGGACAAAAACCTAGGACTGCTTCTAACCGTTGACCCAAAAACCTGCTGTTAATGTACATCGGAGCTGAAACAAGCTAGGAAAGTGATAAAGTAAAAAAAATCGACAGTGATACTTGGAGGCGAGATTGACACTTAACATACAAGCCAGTACCGCAAAGAAAAGCTGAATCAAAGGATTAAATAGTGGGTTCTATCGGCGGAAAAAATTAGGGACCGTAAGCCAAATACTTATGACTATTATACTAAAGTTAAATGAAACCCAGTGGCGCCTACGCCTTTGAAATACGGGGAATGTTTCTATTGCCGCCAACACAAGAAAAGTAGAGGTTTGCAACAACGCAGCAGCTAAATATATCTTACGACCCCAGCAGGCTATCCGCCAAAACAAACCCTTGGGGAAGCAGAACTACATACACTATTTGAAGAAGGGTTAAACATCGCGGCAAAACTGCTGGCACACACTTAACACTCTGGAAGGAAAGGATCAACAGCCAGGCTCAAATGGAGGTCAGATTGGAGACCAGCAGCATTAAAAAGACTCCAGGAATAGAGTTTATAAGGGCATGAGGAAAGATGTGAGCCGACAAAAGGGAGAAAAGAGATAGCTGAGTTACTTGGAAAAGGTTCCAGAAAACCACCCTCTCAGACGCATTACAGGAGGATAACTGCTCCAGGAAGGCGAAGGCTGATCAGGATAATCGGTGTAAAATTCCATCTCTTGAGTCTAAACAGAGCAGAGCTCCTTTTCTGTGGGACACCCTACATACCACCAGCGGATTTAAGGGGAAGGCGGGGCGGCGGACGCCCCCTCTAAGAGATTCGACCCTCTGCCGACCCAAAGGGTCCCATCTTTGTACTATTTTGAGATTTCCCTTTTTGGCTGACTGAACCTATCATTTTTGTAAAGGCGCATATGGCGCCAAATTATACTAAGTTTAAGGGGTGAGCGCGCGCCGAAAAACACGATTTTTGGTCGACATTTTCCAAAAACTGCCTAAAAACGCCTTTTTTGGCCTGTTTATCAAAAATTTGCATGCGGTGCAGAAAATTTGGTCTTTATAGTGATTTGGGAGAGCTCAGAAAATCAATCCAAACTCCGCCCCCCGTCGAGAAAATCCTAGATTCGCCCTTGTTACATACACAAGGGAAAAGTGAGCTAGGCCCATGGCCGCACTGTTACAACGAACAGAAGACAAAAAACATTGGCTCAAAAATGCCCCAAATATATTAAGAAAGAAATGAGATATTTGGTTGCTAGCCACCGGAGGCGAACAGAAACCAAGAACCCGATCTAGCTGCCGATTTCATACGTGCTTCGGCTACCAAGCTATCTCCAATCTGTGACGGTACCCCATCCACACCCACCCACCCATACACACCCATCCGCGCGCGCGCGCGCACACACACACACACACACACACACACACACACATCCATCCACACACACGCGCACACACACACACACACTCATCCGCACACACACACACACACACACATCCAGCCACACACACGCACACACACAACACACACACACACACACACACACACAAGGGATCTGGAAGTTCCTAAGCTCACTAATAAAGCACCTTCACAATTTACAGATTTGAAACAAAAAATGTTAAAGGGAAAAAAATGAAAAGTCTGATTCCCGATTACAAGACAATTGCTCTCGCAAGTGTAAAAGTAAACATCGTATCTTTTGCACCAAAAGAGTCTATCATCGACAATTAAAATGGACAGCACTAATTTCCAGTATCAGAGCTTTCAACGCGTAACCTTGAGAACAACCTTTTCATTTGAATAAAAAAACAAGAACGAAAACCCTCCGTTGGAATCGGGCTTGAAATAATCAATGGGATAAATTTCAGAAATCATTGCCAGAAAACTGTTATAATTTTCCTAGTCCCACTTATATACATGTCACATCTTATATCTAAATCAGCAGGTCATTGTTTTAAGCCCGGCAGAGGCGTGATTCCATTTTCTAAACTGTGTCTGAGTTCTAGCCCCTTCCTCCTATTTCAATCGGACGAAGTCACATACAACTTGAGTTGAAACTGTGGCGTTGACGGAATTGTTAAAAATGGAAAGTAGTGTTTGGATGGACTGTGGGGCCAGTTAAGAGAGACGTTTAGGTCCACCCGGATGTACATTTTGGTACACTTATAGCATTTTGCACAATTTGTTCAGTGTAGTGATGAACATCGATCATTTAACATATTTCTATCTACTAGAGAAGATAGAGAAAGCGAGACAAGAATGACCGGTTGCGTTCCAAGTAGCACAGGAAGTGGGAGCAGCCTCATTTTAATAAAGAAAAATCCTTTTTTATTCAAAATTTCAATGTTATCTGCTTGGTGTGTGTAACTTTCTCGTACTAAAAACACTGAAATAATGTATCATATTTCTGCTGCGTCCTACAAAAAAAAACATTCCACCAAAAAAATGGGCGCTCAATTTACCTATTATCGCTTTAATTTGAGCTTCAAGCCAAAATTTTCATATCAAATTTTCGACGTTGGGACTTTCCACGACTTTCTTATTACAGTTCGAATCGCGACTACAAAAACATTCAAATGAAATCTCATTCAACGTGCGTGATTGAGATTAGTACCTGATTTTTCATGAAAAAGGTGCTCAAATTAAAGCTGCTTATCGTCTTCAAGGATCGAAGAGCCGAGTAATGAGACAAACACCTGTTTGAAGTTATTTTAGATCAAGCTATCAACTGAATCAAGTGATTTTATGAAAACAGTTTTCAACCTGATAACGCTTGCAAGTGACAAGCGTGATCAACATATTCATAAAAAAGCAAAGAGTACAAAATGGTTGTTCAACCCCAGATTCAAAATAAAGCCGTCCCTCAAATTTCATTCATATGCTCTTACTGATTTGATTGAGTTACGGAAAGTCTGAGGCCTAAAAAAGCCTTGCAAGGCAGAAAATTGAAAAAACGCCGTGCATATAACAAAAAACGACCGCCCGTTGTATAACACTAAGCTTAAATTTTGTAAATATTTCTACTTTCGACACCTGGTTCAAACCGGCATAAGAAGAAGAAAGTTTTAAATATTATAAGTTGGCTTAAATAAACAACATGGGAAAAATAAGACCTAAAAATAAGTGAATATTTGCTGCGTTTCGAAAAACATTGAATTATGGTTCGCTGCCACACCTCTTTGTGCTGTTTTCCATTTTGATGCCCCTCCTCGTTCTCATTAGCTCCTCCCCCTGCCCCACGTCGCTCATCTTCCGCACCCCTTCTCACAGAACAGTCTAGGGGTGAACAAACTGCGACGGCTTGAGGCTCATTGCAATCGAAAATTGTGATTACAGGCTGTTGATTTTGTTTAGCAGCTCTCTCGAAACCATTGGAACAGCCAGTCCCGCCACCTGCAGCCACGTTGGCTGCAACAGCAATTAAACCATTATAGGACCAGTCTACTAGTCGCAGTTGATTGTGATACTCGTTGGGAACCAAGTCCAGAACCGAGAGAGGAGGAGACCCACTGCCGCCGCCCATGTTACTTGTAGCAGCCGATGTCTGGATGCCGAGAGCCTGGGCCAACTTCACAGAGTAAACATGTTCCATTTCTATAATGAACGCCAGTTAAAACTTTCTAATGGACACCAGTTAAGATTTTCTAACAAACAAATCAACAGATTGTTCTTTAAATAAATAAAAAACAGGTGTACCATGCAGTAACACTTTTGAGGCGCAACCCTCACAAACATTAGTTTGAACCACACTGAAGCACCTGATGGAACACAAGGATGACTCAGTACCACTGCTTCTGTGCTGGCTCTTACATGTATAAGGGAACTCATTGCTTCCTCACCTATTCCCCCTGAATTTGACTGTATGGAATGTGAATTAGCAAAGTATTCCTAAATCAGTTTAAACGTAAAATAAAATGCTATAACTTACAACCGGGGGCATGAACAAAACCGAAAAAAAAAACGCCATCAAAGCATGAATGTCCAATAAAACCTTTTTTTTTAACAGTTAATTCATTTAATTTATAAAATTTACAGATCACATCATAACTTTCAACTAATAAAAGGCCAAAAGAGAAGCAAAATCCAAAACAGATTACACTAGATTCAATTCACGAAGCGCAGATAACACATAAAAACACATTCAAGTCGAATGTCGATGCGGAGTACTGATTAGCATGCAATATTAACTAACAGTAGAAATCAAATCTATGCTGGTTTGAAGACAAGTGGAAGCCAATTTTAGCAATCTGAGCCATTTAATCATCCTTTTCTTTGCAGCCTCAAAAATTTTCTTCGAAAACCTAATCGATGGCTTTCTATTGTCATTTCACAATCAACTATGACTTTTAGAGTGAGACTATTTTGAAGCGCTTTTGCTCGTTGTTAAGATTCGAATACCAAGTGAAAAAATAACCACCAAGGGATGCATTCAAAACAAGCAGATTGTTATTCACGGCTAACTTGACCTCCTATGAACCGCATTACTGCAAAACCAAAGCCACATCCTTGAAACTTTCCAAGATCAGCAAACGAAAAATATATTAACGCTCTAAAATATCTTAAAGTTATGTTTCACAACCACTGCATCTCATCTGCACAATGGTTGCAGGATCAAACTTAGGAAACCAAGTTGAAACAGCATTTTGACTTTTTCATGGAATACTGTTCAAAGCGATTGAATCTGTACTACCTATGTGTCCCGGCCTAGAGGAAACAATGTGCACATCCATATCCGCAATGTGCACATCCAGTTTGGTCATTGATTCGCTGAAATTTGAACGAAAGGAACTGTCTCTGTTGCTGATTAGGAGTGTGGTGCTGCTGAAGCAAGCAGTAAACTTGAGTTTATATCATTATGTAAGAACATTAGAACATATGATATCATACTGTTGTACCAATTTCACAGACACCATTTATTGAATGCAACACCTTCTGATAGTCAGTGTGTTCAATCTGTTGGCGATAGACCTACAACTCAGCCACAGGAACATAAAATAAAATTAGCTCAGAATGCGTTAATTCACCTTTTGAACACTAGATTCTTGCATCGTAGAGATTGACTTTCTTGAGATATTAAATAGTGTCTTTTAAGATTGAATGAAATGAGGGCAGCCGTGGTGGCCCTATAATGATTATCCTTGGCGCGTGTTCTCTCTTCAGAGCACTTAATTCTCAAGAATATCAAAAAAAGAGACGCTTGAGAAGCCTAGGCGTAAATCAATCAGCCATCATAAGCGGCCTCAATTGTCATCGAAGGACACCAAAAGCGAGAAAGTCAATCTTCACGCATATCAGAGAGGCGGAACCAACAGAAATCATTGCCAGAAAACTGTTATAATTTTCCTAGTCCCACTTATATACATGTCACATCTTATATCTGAATCAGCAGGTCTTGTTTTAAGCCCGGCAGAGGCGTGATTCCATTTTCTAAACTGTGTCTGAGTTCTAGCCCCTTCCTCCTATTTCAATCGGACGAAGTCACATACAACTTGAGTTGAAACTGTGGCGTTGACGGAATTGTTAACAATGGAAAGTAGTGTTTGGATGGACAGTGGGGCCAGTTAAGAGAGACGTTTAGGTCCACCCGGATGTACATTTTGGTACACTTCGAGCATTTTGCACAATTTGTTCAGTGTAGTGATGAATATCGATCATTTAACATATTTCTATCTACTAGAGAAGAAGATAAAGAAAGCGAGACAAGAAAGACCGGTTGCGTTCCAAGTAGCAAAGGAAGTGGGAGCAGCCTCATTTTAATAGAAAAAAAATCCTTTTTTATTCAAAATTTCTATGTTATCTGCTTGGTGTGTGTAACTTTCTCGTACTAAAAACAATGAAATAATGTATCATATTTCTGCTGCGTCCTACAAAAAAAATATTCCGCCAAAAAATGGGCGCTCAAATTACCTATTATCGCTTTAATTTGATCTTCAAGCCAAAATTTTTATATCAAATTTTCGACGCTGGGACTTTCCACGACTTTCTTATTACAGTTCGAATCGCGGCTACAAAAACTTTCAAATGAAATCTCATTCAACGTGCGTGAGTGAGATTAGTACATGATTTTTCATGAAAAAGGTGCTCAAATTAAAGCTGCTTGTCGCCTTTAATGATCGAAGAGCCGAGTAATGAGACAAAAACCTGTTTGAAGTTATTTTAGATCAAGCTATCAACTAAATCAAGTGATTTTATGAAAACAGTTTTCAACCTGATAACGCTTGCAAGTGACAAGCGTGATCAACATATTCATAAAAAAGCAAAGAGTACAAAATGGTTGTTCAACCCCAGATTCAAAATAAAGTCATTCCTCAAATTTCATTCATATGCTCTTACTGATTGAGTTACGGAAAGCCTGAGGCCTAAAAAAGCCTTGCATATAACAAAAAACGACCGCCCGTTGTATAACACTAAGCTTAAATTTTGTGGTTCAAACCGGCACCTGGTTCAAACCGGCATAAGAAGAAGAAAGTTTTAAATATTATACGTTAGCTTGAATAAACAACATCGGAAAAATAAGACCTAAAAATAAGTGAATATTTGCTGAGTTTTGAAAAATATTGAATTATGGTTCGCTGCCACACCTCTTTGTGCTGTTTTCCATTTTGATACCCCTCCTCTTCGTTCTCATTAGCTCCTCCCCCTGCCCCACGTCGCTCATCTTCCGCACCCCTTCTCACAGAACAGTCTAGGGGTGAACAAACTGCGACGGATTGAGGCTCATTGCAATCGAAAATTGTGATTACAGGCTGATTTTGTTTAGCAGCTCTCTCGAAACCATTGGAACAGCCAGTTCTGCAATCTGCAGCCACGTTGGCTGCAACAGCAACTAAACCATTATAGGACCAGTCTACTAGTCGCAGTTGATTGTGATACTCGTTGGGAACCAAGTCCAGAACCGAGAGAGGAGGAGACCCACTGCAGCCGCCCATGTTACTTGTAGCCGCCGATGTCTGGATGCCGAGAGCCTGGGCCAACTTCACTGAGTAAACATGTTCCATTTCTATAATGAACGCCAGTTAAAACTTTCTAACAAACAAATCAACAGATTGTTCTTTAAACAAATAAAAAACAGGTGTACCATCCAGTAACACTTTTGAGGCGCGACCCTCACAAACATTAGTTTGAACCACACTGAAGCACCTGATGGAACACAAGGATGACTCAGTACCACTGCTTCTGTGCTGGCTCTTACATGTATAAGGGAACTCATTGCTTCCTCACCTATTCACCCTGAATTTGACTGTATTGAATGTGAATTAAAGTATTCTTAAATCAGTTTAAACGTAAAATAAAATGCTGTAACTTACCAACCGGGGGCATGAACAAAACCAAAAAAAACACCATCAAAGCATGAATGTCCAATAAAACCATTTTATTTTTTTAACAGTTAATTCGTTTAATTTATAAAACTTACAGATCACATCATAACTTTCAACTAATAAAAGGCCAAAAGAGAAACAAAATCCAAAACAGATTACACTAGATTCCATTCACGAAGCGCAGATAACACATAAAAACACATTCAAGTCGAATGACGATGCGGAGTACTGATTAGCATGCAATATTAACTAACAGTAGAAATCAAATCTATGCTGGTTTGAAGACAAGTGGAAGCCAATTTTAGCAATCTGGGTCATTTAATCATCATTTTCTTTGCAAAATCGAGTCCGAAAACCTAATCGATGGCTTACTATTGTCATTTCACAATCAACTAATGACCTTTAGAGTGAGACTATATTGAAGCGCTTTTGCTCGTTGTTAAGATTCGAATACCAAGTGAAAAAATAACCACCAAGGGATGCATTCAAAACAAGCAGATTGTTATTCACGGCTAACTTGACCTCCTATGAACCGCATTACTGCAAAACCAAAGCCACATCCTTGATCCAAGATCAGCAAACGAAAAAGATATTAACGCTCGAAAATATCTTAAAGTTATGTTTCTCAACCACTGCATCTCATCTGCATAATGGGTGCAGGATCAAACTTAGGAAACCAAGTTGAAACAGCATTTTGACTTTTTCATGGAATAATGTTCAAAGCGATTGAATCTGTACTACCTATGTGTCCCGGCCTAGAGGAAACAATGTGCACATCCATATCCGCAATGTGCACATCCAGTTTGGTCATTGACTCGCTGAAATTTGAACAAAATGAACTGTCTCTGTTGCTGATTAGGAGTGTGGTACTGCTGAAGCAGTAACCTTGAGTTTATATCATTATGTAAGAACATTAGAACATATGATATCGTACTGTTGTACCAATTTCACAGACACCATTTATTGAATGCAACACCTTCTGATAGTCAGTGCGTTCAATGTGTTGGCGATAGACCTACAACTCAGCCACAGGAACATAAAATAAAATTAGCTCAGAATACGTTAATTCACCTTTTGGACATTAGATTCTTGCATCGTAGAGATTGACTTTCTTGAGATATTAAATAGTGTCTTAAATAGTGATTATATGAAATGAGGGCAGCCGTGGTGGCCCTATAATGATTATCCTTGGCGCGAGTTCTCTCTTCAGAGCACTTAATTCTCAAGAATATCAAAAAAAGAGACGCTTGAGAAGCCTAGGCGTAAATCAATC